GGGGCTAATCTCGCTTTTCAGTATACCCGATACAATTCTGTTCTTGTCTTTTTTCTACAAATCTAGTGAGCTGCCAAACAGACTGACATGGTTCTGGATTTCCTACACCACTGCCGGGATAATTGGTTCATTCCTAGCCTTTGGTTTCCTGCACATCACCGATGCCAACGGCGGTGGTGCATGGAGATATCTCTTCGCATACGAGGGTCTGATAACTGGCGTGATTGGTATCATCGCTGCATTTTGGATGCCAGCCTCACCTGTGCAGACTAAGGGAGGATTACGCGGAAAGAACGGATGGTTTACAGAACATGAAGAGAAGATCATCGTGAACCGGGTTATTCGGGATGATCCCAGCAAGGGCAGCATGCACAATCGACAAGCAGTGACCCCACGTCGTCTTTGGGAGTCGCTCAAGGATTATCATATGTGGCCAATCTATGCTCTCGGTCTGATCTGGATGATACCTTCCAACCCCTCGCAAAATTACCTCACACTACAACTGCGATCCCAGGGGTTCACAACATTCCAAACAAACTTGTTGACCATTCCAGCGGCTGTCATTGCGATTATATCCATGACATCTATTACCTGGGTTGCAGAGCGCACGAACCAACGCCTTCTGTGGGGCGTGGCGGTGGAGATCTGGAACCTAGCCCTGTTGATTGCACTGGAGTTACTTCCTCAGAAAAGCATGCCTTGGCCTCGTTGGGCGATTCTTACCCTCCTTGTTGGTGGGCCGAACATTCATCCTGTTATAGTGGCCTTGACTTCACGGAATGCTGGATCTGTGCGGACTCGCACTGTCGCTTCTGCATTGTATAATATGTCTATACAAGTGAGCAGCATTGCTGGTGCTAATGTGAGTTCCAGTCCTTGCTTTTAACTACCGATAACCTGGAGATAAATTGATTAATTGGTATACTAACAATACTGAACAGGTGTACCAAGCAAAGGATGCGCCATATTACAGAAATGGAAACAAAGTTCTCATAGCACTGGCGGTTGTCAGTGGGTTCCTTTTTGTCTTCAGCAAGTTTTACTACGATTATTGGAATAAGTACGAATCCAGAACTCGCGGACTTGAATTTACAGGATTCTTGCTAACTTGTATACAGGAAAAACTCGGCAAAATGGGATGCTATGACAAGCGAGCAAAGAGAGCTTTACTTGCGTGAAAACCCAGTATTGACTAACAAAAGGTATGTTGGTGCTGTAGAGTATAACAACTGACAGTACTTGTCAACTAACACTCTTGTACAGAATCGACTTTCGGTTTGCTCGCTGAAGCTGTGTGTCTGTTGAGGGAATTCGAGAAATTGAAGAATCAGACATATTTGTCGCAATGGAATAAAAATTGGTACTACTGATAGAAAGAGTCAGATCACAATTGTTCATAGGAACGTAATTAGAACAAACCAGGTTTATCAAAGAATTGAATTCATTTGCATCACAATTATCACCCAACTGAGTCTGGACTGTAATTAATTCAACAACTTGATATGCAGGCTCCCACTGAGGTTAGTCGGAAATTGCACCATTGTCGCTTAAATGAGGTTTTTTGTGGCAGTCTTAGCACCATGCATTAATGTTGCAATATGTCGTCAGTGCTGGGTTTGCATGCGTCTTCTTTCTCAAAAGCCCTAAGTTGTATGCTCTGTAATTAAATTGAGATTCATTTGAAATGCATAAATTGGATTTGCATGCATAACTCTGTATATTGGGACTATGGAGATGAAGCAAGAATCATTATACGATACTTTTGTTCTCCCGAAGTATTCGAATATTCATATGCTGGGACTAGACAAATGTTCAGAAAGAGAGTAGGAAGAGAGTTGTATTGTAATAGGAGCGAATCTCCAGACTATCTATCATATCTGAGGGGTCGATGCTGAGGCACCAACCACCACCACAACACCATATTACACAACCTCAAGCCTTGGTTTTACTCTCCTCTGGAACATAAGGTGTCTCATAAGGACGCTCAGCCTGCGGGGTAATGCGCGCCAAGTGGCGACGCTCACCAGTCGTCCAGTCAACAATCACAGAATGGCCAGTGACGCGGTTCTATATTGCATATACACATTAGTATTTGAAACAGTCGATCAATCATGAAAGATTCCACTCACATCCCAGACAACAACAGTCCCTGGGGCCCATCGAATACGAGTTTGGAAGTCAATGCCGCGACTAATATGATTCAGGAGGAAACCTAGAAGGGCATCACTCTCCTCCTTTTTCAGTCCCACGATACTACGAGTAACTAGATTCGGTGTCAGTAGTGCCTTCTATAATGAACCTTGGATAGTACTTACAGCCACCATTAACGAAAAGCGCTTTCTCGCCAGTGACCGGGTGGGTTCGAACAAGAGGATGCTCGTTCTTGACTGGCTCCCGCCGAGCGATACCCCCACGCCTCACACTAAACTCAACCTGTTCAACCCCGGAATGCACAGCTTTCAATCCGTGCAGTCGCTCCTTGAGCGCAGGCGAAAGCCGGTTATACGCCTCAACATGGTCGACGAACGCAGTGTCGCCGCCAACTTCAGGGGTGTCAAGGATGTACAAAAATGTCGTACCAGGTGGCTGCTCCTCATACGTGATATCGGAATGCCATGCGACACTGCTGTTTCTGGTAGCGAGGAATTCATCAAACTCCCACGCATCGTTGCTTCGGTGAACGAGATGGATCTCAGGGTACCCCTCCGGAGCTCCGCTAGTTGGGTGGATATGGTGGCGGCCAAAGTAGCTTCCGAAATCCAGGGCCTCTTGAATTGGAAGATCGGCGAGGTCTTGGTCTCTGAAGGCGACAACTTTACGTTGGGCGACGAGAAGAGCGAGCTGGTCCTTTCCGGCAGGTGTGAGCTTGCTTAGTTGAATTCCCGTAACCTCAGAGCCGATAGTTGGGGTCAACTTTTGAATCTTAGAGCCTTCGATGAGGAGGTCTTTGAAGGAGGGGTCGGCGTCTTTCCCGTGCTCGACATGGGTAAAGGGTTCGAGGGGCGGGTATTTCTCGTCATGGTCCCAGACAGGCAGGTAGTGAGGATACTGCATCATTATTAGGTCAAGATATATGTATAGAGACTCAAAGACCTAGCCATAACTTACACTAGCAGTAGTCTTTCCACCTTCCTCGTCAATAACTCTTCTGACTCTTGGTTTTGTCTCGTTTATTCCAGCAGTCGCCTTCACAGGAACAACGACTTCCGCAGTGGGAGTTTGGGCAATAGACGGTGCCATGGTGTGCTAACCTTGATATTGGTAGATAGGATATTGTCTTTGGTAAAGTTTAAGCAACTATCCCATCAGACCTGCGAGCAGCTACTGACTTAAATATACATGATTCACAACTCGTTCCTACTTCGCGCCATTTCTCATAGAATCACGTATAAATTTCTTCGTCTCCGGTATACGCGACAGTGAGCATCATGTGAAAGGATCGCGTACACAAAACGCATCGGCATTGCTGATCACCATAAGCCGTGATATCCGTTCTATCAAATCAATATTAATTTGTCCCGTAATGCCTATTTCCGGATGCCACAAACTCACGCGATAGGCGGATGCATAAAATCCACGTCCGGGATTCCTAGAGATAGGTGTTGTCGATCGCTCTAGCCACAGCACAGAGTGTATATTTTTATATGAAGCTGATTTTACATTGCATGGGGGGAGATCGGTTAATTCTGACGTGCTATATCTGAGAATAGCATCATGCGCTTGCCAATGGTTGGGGATGTTATATAGTGCTCTTGGATGCATTAATAATCTTGACATGGCGTGATATGATGCAAGTTCCAACCCCCGCAAACGACCAGGGGCTCCATGATATATGCATATCAGAGCCCCGCGCAATGACAGATGTACAACATAGCACGCAAATAGATACGGCTAAAACAAGAGAATATGTACTTTATCTGCCGAATTGTTCCGCGCAGCAGGCAAAGTTGCCCACAATGCAACTTGCCTTGGCATATATAACTTTTTTCCTACTCTTTTCGCTTCTTTGGAGAGAAAATGACGAAGTGAGAGAAATAATGGATGGGAGGAGGCCTTAGCACTTAGACTCAAGGACAGCACAGCGATGACTCCTCCGATGTTACCTGATGTTTTGGCTTGTAAATTGAAAGCAGGCCAAGTCGCTAACGTATCAAAGGTTGTCATGATCGAGCTACATTGGATCATGAGCGGCCATCGGCCCTTACAGAACCCACCAGAAAAAATCGTTAAAACCAGTTCGGTCGCACCGCAAGTTTCATTAAAAACTTTACAATTGCATCAAGAGGGGAAGTTGGCGAAGTGACTTGAAAACTGACAGGAGTGAAGAAATTAACGTGATCGAGGGAAAGTCACAGGTTCTTCCCCAGGTCTGTTTTATTCTAGGTCACGTGATTCTCCTCATTTATTTACCCTTTGTTTAGAAAGACAAGAAACTATTTGGATTTATATCACTCTACTTGATTTTCAAAGAGATCTGTCTGCTTGGGTCATAAGAGCTTCCGTGCTGATTTGATTGAGTGGTGGTTAACAATGGAATCATCGTGAATCAGCCCGAGGCTTGCTCCACCGGTCTAAATATATCTGTCTGGAGTCTTCTTTCTCTGATCATATGTCAGCTCCCAACATGTCTTGTGTTCTCTGATTTTGGGGGGGAGAACCAAAGCGTTTTGTCAGAAATTCTGTTTTTTCCGCAACAAAGAAAGCGAGCGAAACGACCATGGAGATATATATAGTTCTAAGAAAACGAGTCTCATGGCTTATAACAGTCTGTTCTGGGGGGCTATCCTTTGTCATAGATATACCGTAACCCTGAACCTTTGAAGCCAAGTTTGGTCGAACTTAAGGTTGGCTTTCTGTCTTTTTGTATAATATCTCTTTATTTTGACGGATAGGTTGCTCCTGTTGATTTAGGTATTTGTATGCCACGACTCGCTTGTCCATTCATATCGAGGCAGTTCTCAATTGCGAGAGAAGGATCTCTGACCCATATTGTGCTCAACATGTCAGACCGATACAACTTTCGACGTAGTACTCGCAGTCAGCAAGTACCGCCCCAGGACCCTCTGGGCTCACCAAGGGATCCAACTCGACGCATAAAGCTGAAGGTAGAGGACCTAGACCTTGACAAATCCTACAGTAACATTTTGCTACCATCTAAACTACCAGCGAGGCCGAAGAAAAGCAGGCCATGGGCTAAATGGGGAGGAGCTACGCCTCTTACCGACCCAGCTCAACTTCCTCGCGGGTGGCATATGAATGAGGACGACCTTCACCCTGGGTAAGGCATCTAATCCAAATGTTGAATGTAAACAACGAGCTAATTGGAACGGAATAGCGATATCGACGGTCAGATCGAAAGATGTCTTGAGAGGATTGCCGAGAACATAATGCCTCAAATCTTTCAGCAAAGGTTGGAGGAATTCATGGCTTCGAAAAACGAACTTGAGTGAGTTTGCTGGATTTATATTGCAACTGCACATATTCTCATATTGTTATACTTTAGAGCGATGACCTTCGAGGGGTCTGAAGAGCTCAGCTGGGAGACCATTCGACGGGTGCATGATCTGGAGGGCATGAATACAGATATAACGACTACTGGGGATAAATATGAGCAGCTTCCAAATATTAATTCTCTGTTGGCAGCATATAAGTCGGGCCAGCTTGAGTGGCATACCGGGCTTGTTACTTATTGGTCAAGGGGTGTCCAAGTCAGTCAACCAAGACGATTTGACTGGGATGAATTCGAAGCAATTAACCTCGACCACCACGGCGACAAAGGATTCTGGACGGAAGGGGTAATTACTCCCCCCAGGTTTCTAAAGTGACTCGCTAATGAATGATATTAGCTCGATGGCCCCGAACCTGATACCTCCTATGCAGGGATCATTATAGGTCCAGCTGTAGGCCGTCCAACGCTGGCTGGGGTAGGATCCACCTGGCTCAAACCTGTTCCATCTTTCTCTAACATTCTTTTTTCATACAGGTAAAACTGGCGCTTCGTCTTCCAGGATTCATGTGGTTTGCCGAGCTGGACTTTGTCCACGATACCGGGGCTAGTATGATGGGCATTTATCAAGGAGATCTTAAAACGCTGCTTGGCCCCTTTGCTGCGACTGCTGGGCCAATGATACCGGTAGTAAGCATGGTAAGATCTCGTGTTGCAAGCGGCACATACATCACCAGGCAAGCCATTGAGGTGGAAGTAACAATTCTGGATAGCAATCGCCAGAGAATGACCGCTTGGACTAGAACCAGGTGCTGTCTCAATCCAGGGGCTGGACATTGAGTGCCGTCCCCCGATTAGATGGCCAAGTTGTGCGAGATTTGTTATATTTGGGAACTTCACCTGCTACCGGCTTTGGTATACACATCTCAAACACGAGATCTGACCTTAACCTGCCAGATCTGGACTTAGCTAGCAACCCGCCAGTGCACAATCCGCATTATAGAATGTCCCTTCCAGTGCCACCACCAGGAACATTCGCCCAAGGGCATGGTGGATGGGTAGTGCCGCTCGCAGCACCCTTAATGATGCCGCAGCCAGCACCTGGAGCCCCTCCTTGAGAGACCGAAAAACCTGTCATTCTTCCCTCGGACTGGCGTTGTGCTTGAACTCATTCCCTCATTTTGATTTCTTCGTTTTCTTTTTGTTGCTTGGAGTGTATCGCTGTCTCGATTCAACAGAGTTTGTGAATTTTGTCATGTTCGATTTTGCGCCTTTATCTATAGAAACCCAACTCCAAAATCTTATAAAATCTTATATCAATGCAATACGTTATGAGTTCGGATGGTCTATGTCCTATCCAGAACCGCATATCTATCTCAAACCTTTCTTTTACACTCTCACGCATCTCAGGTTGTATGTTCTTTCATGGCTCGGTCTTACACGGCAATAGTGGTTGCCGATCCAATATTTAGGGTGGCCATGTAGATCGTAGCCTAGTGCTCACCCCTTTTCTCCCTTTTCTTTTCTCCGCTCATACCATGCCTCATAATAAAATACTTATCAGACCTAGAGAAAATGGGCCGAAAGATGTCACCGTGTAATGTATACAACATTGTAATAAAGATTTTATTCAATTATCGTGATGCCTTAGGCCACAATAGACAAACGTGCCATGACCCACTTTGGTAGTTCGCTCTCTCTTCCCTTCTCTCCCGCTTGTTCAACATCAAATACAGTCAAAATTTATCATTTGTATTTTTGAGGGCAATATTTCAATGATGAACAGTTTACCTGCGAAAATTATGGCTGAGAGACAGTTGGTTCTGTGATCCGCGCTAATAGGCTTGGAACTAGCAAAGCTCTGACTGGGTTCTAGAGAGCAAGCCCGATCATTTGTGGCTAAACCTAGCCCCACGCCGCTTGTTATTTGCTGTGGATCACTCATCTAGATTGTACAGCGAGATGACTGCAAGCTCCAACTTGTCTTTTCCCACTGAACTTTCGAGAAGGCACCCACCACCCTGAACCAATAGGAAGAAGCTGATTCTGAATGATGTGATGCTGGCTGTCTAGGCCATTTCCATGAATACTGCGACGTCAATAGACCAACTTCAGACAAGCGCAGGCGCGGAAAACTAGTGTATCGCAACTAGTGGCAATTAATCAACGCTTGCACTCCAGGGTCCACAGTTGATTACCGCCATGGGAGGTCTCTGAGAACAATACCTTTGTAAGGTTTTCCCCCCGTCCTCCGGCTTTCATCTCTGAAACCTACTTTTTACAGGGGCATCAATTCAATAGCCGAACTCAGTCATCATGACTATCAATGAGAAGGCAACCGTGGATGATACGGAGCTGGGAAGCTCTAGAGACTCCACCGAGGAGCACGAGGTCTTCAAGAAGACCGAGGATGGTGTCAGCTTCCGCGGTGTTGGCTGGTTCAAAGCTTGTATTATCTTCGTGAAAGTGCTCTTCGCGACTGGTGTGCTGTCGCTACCAGCTTCGCTGTACTCCCTCGGTGCGGTGGGTGGCTCGATCAGTATCATCGCATGGGGCGCGTTCAACACCTACTCTTTCGTGATTCTTGGCAACTTTCGCAAGAAGCATCCTCACTGCCACTCCATTGCCGATATGGCTGAAGTTGCCGGCGGTTTCTTCGCGAAGGAGCTTACCGGTTTACTCTTTCTCATCGGCTACGTCCTTGTCGTGGGAAGTGGTATCATTGGAGTTTCAACGGCCTTGAATGCCCTCTCGCACCACTCTGCCTGCACTGTCTGGTGGTCTTTGATTGGAGCCGTTGTGATCATCGCGACAGCTTCGGTACGCAAACTCCAGCATGTGGGCTGGCTCACATATGCTGGATTCATTTCGATCTACGCCGCAGTTCTGATCGTTGTCATCGGAGTCACAACGCGTGACCGGCCGGCCGCCGCGCCCCAGGAAGGCCCTTACGACCTCGGTTACGTCGCTATCAACAACCCCGGATTTGCTGCTGGTATGGTTGCTTCCAGTACTATCTTCGTTTCCACGGCCGGTACCAGCGCCTTCATCCCGGTGATGTCAGAGATGCGAAACCCGAAGGACTACAAGAAGGCGTTATATCTGTGCATGATTGTGGTTAATGCGTCGTACCTTGCTTTCAGCTTGGTTGTCTATCGTTGGTGTGGACAATGGGTGGCCAGCCCTTCTTTAGGTGTATGTATCCTTTAACTGACGCCGGTTTGAGGTTCAATTAGCTAATTGTGTTTATGTATAGAGCGCCGGACAGACGATCAAGATGGTATCTTACGGTGTTGCATTGCTAGGATTGGTTGTGAGCGCCACGATCTACTTGCATGTGAGTATCTCCCTCGCGACTTGTGCTGCCGTAACTGACTTTGGTGTTTAGATCGCCGCTAAATACGTATTTGTACGCATCTTGGGTAACACGCGTCATTTGCAGGCCAACACTGTCGTTCATTGGGCGACTTGGATGGGCTGCACGATCAGTCTCGGTGCTATTTCCTTCATCCTCAGCGAGACTATCCCCATCTTCAACTATCTGGTGGCCCTGATCGGGTCCGTTTGCTTCGCCCCCCTTGCTATGTGTCTTCCTGGTTTCTTGTGGCTGCACACCAACAGCCATTACCGCAAGGGAACACTTATGCAGCAGGTGATCTACCTGCTGCACTGGGGAATGGTACTTTTGGGAATTTTCTTCCTTGTTGGTGCGACCTATGGTGTTGTCATTCAGATCATTGACGCCTACGCAACGGGGATGATCGGTATGTTTTGGTGTCCCCAATACTGTAGAACGTGCGACTGACCCTTTCTTTATTAGGCTCCACTTTCAGCTGCCTCGACAACTCGAACTCGTCTTAAGCATGCATTTTAGAGAACATACTCTTGTTTGGTCGAGCTGCCTAGGGATCGGCTCCCAACCAGGGTGATATATACGCTCAACACCTGGTGTGAATGGTTATAATGAGGGCCCAGGTGGTCATAATGTAATGAGTTGTCATAGAATGGTATCAAATTTTGTATTCAACATTGAAGACTCGCCTAACTCTCAATCGGTCTCGGGTAATGCAAACGCTAGTCACTAGGTAAGATACCATCTCCACTTGGACTCAAACCTGGTCGCCGTGTGGTCCCCGGACGGAATTCCGCGTCTTCGGGAACCCACATGTTCTTGCTGTTCTAACTGCATTCAGTACAGTTATTGCCTATCAAAACCTTGATTCCTTCCCGTTTCTCTTTTTCAACAGACATGAGTGATTTTTCTGCCACATCCAGAGATTTTCTTCCCGCTTTCATGACACATACCATTATTTCAGTGCTCTAGGCTCCATCACGAGACGGGACTGAATCGCAAATTCGTGACATCCCGTGTGGTACCGTGTGGATCCACCCGCGTCGGTTCATGAGTTTGAAGTTTTCGCGCTGGTCTAAGATGTGGGGACTCAGACTCGTGCCGTGCACGATGCCTTATCGCAGCTAGCCGCTCGTAATCTTGGGCAGATGCCTCATCCCAAGTCGCGCGACGCTAAGGCGGACCTCAATCATTTCTCAGCAGGCGGCAACCTATCGACCACTGGTTTTCGTTAACCGGTACTTAAATGCTTATGTCGTTTCTCTGTATTCCTGACGTGAACATATACGGCCACAAGCTTGGAAGGGGTGGAAATCAGCGCCTCCCGTCCGTTCAGCGTTACTTGAGCTTCACGTCGTTTAGTTAGTAGGTCACCACCAATAAATCATGGGGTGCTCTCTCGACAAAGACAAATTCCATGTATGCGAGCGCGACATGAACTTAAGTCGAGTCTTTCGTATATTGGGAGTCAGATATGTGGACATTCAATGAAAAGGGAAAAAAATACCTTTAACAAGTGGGCATTCTTGCTAATAGAAATATATTCCCAGCCTGACGTGATCCCAAGGCTGCCTTTTACCTTCTTACCCTGGACATGAAGGTTGCGGCAACAGTAGTCGAATCACCGAGTGTCTTTATTATTTGACTATCCCGGCTACATATCGGTTATCCCGTTTTGGAATACCGGCATGGCAATAGTCTCGGCAACAATCCTTGTGGGGGCCAGCGCGGGGTATCCTATACCGGCCTGCCATACAAACGAAAAAAAGGCTGGCTCGGATGGATACAGCGAGACAGGCTGGAGCTATAAGTGACCCAGCCAAGGTCTGGAGTTCTCCGTGTAACATTTCGATACCTAACCAGCACCTGAAATCATACTCCATACACCTACAATTTAGTTGAAAATGCCTCTTCCCAAATATACCTATACGGGCCCAATCGACCACACCGTGGTGCCCGATCTAGCCAATGCCAAAGGCAAATCCATCATTATTACCGGAGGCGCAAATGGAATGGGAGAGATCATGGTTCGCGCCTTCGTTGAGGCCGGCGCGTTCGTCACTTTTGGCGACCTCCACCCCCGAGGAGAAGATCTCGCTAAGGAGCTGAATGCGAATGGTGAAACCGCCGCGTTTGTCAAGTGTGACATTACAGACTGGGACCAATTGATTACACTATTCGAGACGGCGAAGACCAAGAGTCCGCATAACAGCGTTGATGTTGTCATTGCAAATGCGGGAATCTCGCGTGCATCGGGTGACAGTTTGTGGAACCTCGATGGTAAGTCGCTCTCTATCTGATAACGGAAGTTCAACATACTCGAACTTTAGTTATCTTTAGGTATGTGGAGTCAAGGCACTGACAGTCGACAGACCCCAATGGAGCTCCCACCAAGCCCAATCTCAATATCGTCCGTGTCAACATGGACGGGACATTCTATACTTGGAAACTTGCAGTTCATTATTTCAGAAAACAGGCAGATACCCCGGACCGAGACCGATGCTTCATCATGACCGGAAGCATGGTCGCATACATTGATTCACCGGTAAATTTACCATCTGAGCCTTCCTTGAATTGCTTAACTAACAACGCATTAGGGAAACTGGGAATACACAGCCACCAAGTACGGCCTACGCGGCTTCATGAAGACCGTGCGTCGAAGCAGCTGGGAACAAGGAATCCGAATCAACTATGTCGCGCCATGCTGGATCAAGAGTGCTATCCGGACCAAGGAGTACGAAGCTTGGCTAATTGAGCGCGGTGTTGAGTTTGGCGAACAGGCCGATTGCGCCGGTGCAATGATGCGCATCGCCTGTGATAAGTCCATCAATGGTATGTCGACTTATCCTCCATGATTTGTGCCCTGTCCTTAGACAAGACATAATGGCGATATAATGGCTAACTCTACTAGGACGCTCACTCATGATTACGCCGAGGAGCATAGCCAAGGAAGGATTCATGGACGTAGACAAGGAAGACTATTCCGACCCCAAGGACGCGTACTTCGCGAAGAAGCAAGCATCCCAATTAGTCATCATCGAAGATAAATGGCTGGATGATTATAAAGTGAGAATTTACAAAGATTGAATCGCGTTTCATTGCTGACTATCAGCAGAGACAGGGTCAAGGACGACCAGTGTGAGGGGCAAATTTATTATAGTGTGACATCTGGTATAGCCTTGGAATTAAATTCAATGCGAATTGCTTCGTTGCACAGTAATTATCATGGGCCCAAACATTCTGCATGTAACGTCTCTCCACTTCAGCCCCCTCGGGGTGTTCAATAACCCCGTAAGTCTCCATACGATAATCCGGGGAATGCTTCGGTCCAAAGTAAACGACCATTCGGTATGTCCGGCTATGCCGGCACCGCACAGCCGAACCGCAGATCCTAGTAAAGAGTACCAATTGGGACGACTCTAGTGCATATACATATAAAGCGGGCGTAATCGAGATATCAGCACCCAACAAGTTATACAAGATATATCTGCACATCATGACACTTCCTGCAAGCATTGACATCCCGTCGTCCATGTACGCATGGAGGAAGCACAAGGGGAACCCCGAGCCTGTGAGTACTCGCAAATTTACCATGAGTAACCATTGCTGACAACCACGCTGGTCTGGGAAGAGGTTCCGGTCCCTGCGACTCCCAGTGGAGGATTTTTAGTGAAGCTGCTAGCATCTGGGGGTGAGTATTCGATTTTTGGCCCAGCCTCCGCGCTTTGGAAAATGATGTTAACATCTGCTTGTTAGTCTGCCATAGCGACCATTCACTTCTCACAAGTGAAAAGCAGCGTCCATGGTTCCAAGAAAAATACACACTGGTATGCTGATTATGTCTGGCTCCTCCTGACCTGGAAATCCGATAGGCTGACCAGGTGTCCTCGTTTCAAGGGCCATGAAGGATGCGGTGAGATTGTGCAGATAGGGGAGGAAGTGAAAGACGCGGGTTTCAGCGTGGTAAGTTCTGCAAGCACACCTCGAGATACAACAGGTCTAAGAACCTACATAGGGAGATCGAATTGCGACTATAGCTGTCCCTGGCTGTGGCTCAGAGGACTGCCCAGAGTGCTCACGGGATCTCGCTCAGCTGTGCGAGCAAGCCCATCACGCCGGTATTGGCCAAGATGGTTTCTATGCACCATATGCCGCACTAGACCTTCGTGCAGTAGTCCATGTCCCGGAAGGTTTGTCTCCATGATTATCTTGTCCATCTTGATCTAACAAACTTTGCAGGAATTCCGTCCTCCGTAGCTGCGGTGGCAACAGATGCTGTCAAAACGAGTTATCACGCCATCGTGAGACGTGCAGAGGTCAAGTCTAACGAGACAGTCTTTCTGTTTGGCCTTGGAGGCCTCGGGTTTAATGCGTTGCAAATCGTTCTGCATATTGGGGCTCGAGTCATCGTTTCTGATATCCGACAAGAACGGTTGGAGGAGGCTGCAAGGTTTGGTGTTCCTCGAGAAGATCTAGTGCCAGCTGGAAAGTCAGTACAGGATTTCGTGCGTGAGAATGGATTGCAGGGCAAGATTGATACCACGTTGGATTTTGTGGGCACACACCAGACTTTCCAAGATGCACAGAATATTGGTAACTATATATTGAAAGGCAGCTTGTTTCCAGCACTGACCATTTGATAGTTCGCAGAGGAGGAAAGCTTTTGTGTGTGGGTACTCTGGATGAGGAGAACACAATCGACATGAAGATTGGCATTCAGAAGAGACTGAGCATTATCTTCACATATGGCGGGCAGTGGAGAGATCTGAAGGAAGTGCTTGATTTGATTTCGAAGGGGATAATTCAGCCACAGGTTGAGACTGCTGCCTTGAAGGAATTTCCCCAGGTTTTGAAGGGTGTTTGTGACGGAAAGGTCAAAGCCCGGGTTGCCTTGTTGCATGAGTAGCATCGCAACATATCGAACAACATTATTTCGTTATACGAGGCCATATTTGAATGTATATATCTCATGAATCGGGTGAATTCTAGTACAAGCTATTCAACCTTTTTTTTTTTTCTTCAAGTCGTTTCTCTATTTAAACGATGTCGCTCGATGAGCAATAAATTGCCTCCAATATTCCGGCTCAAGTAGGTAAATCTTTCGATGATATTGTAACATTTCGCTATATTAAACGAGATCCAAAGGTGTGATATATTCTTCTGAAAGAATTATAATCTGAAATATAATTAACCAATGTGGTTATGGGTATGGAGAGCGTACGCAAACCAATAGAGGAGTATATATTTCCGCACTGTCTGATGGAATATCATAACACAGTGATAGCATTATAATTCTCATTTAAATCATAAAAAGGGTCCCTTTTACAATCCTTTCGACTTCCAAAAGGGTTCCAGATCCCGAAACCATGTCCACTTGACGTTCTGGGCCCATCCTTTCTCCTTCCAATCATTGAGACTCAATGGAAAGTGATCCACGCCATCCCTGACGCTTGAATCATGTGCAATAATAACAAATATGTTCTCGTCACAGTCCAATTCTTGCAATTGGTCACGAGTCTTTTGCGCAAGGGGGATATCATGACCGAAACACATCTCGTACATCGTATCTGTTGGTTTCCTTCCTCTGGTGTGCTGCAAATCATCGAAGACACTGCCGGGGCAGAATGGGACCTCGCTTTGTGCATTATACGGATGTGGAGAGATTGACGCGGGCACGGGGAGATACTTCGATGGTCGAAAGATGCCCGCGTAATGACAGATATCTCCTCCCATCATGACAAAAGTAGGCGGATCTACAGTTGTTCTTGCTAGACCGCAAAGATGCCCGATTGCATGTCCTGGGCTGTCTAAGAGGTAGAAAGATCCATCGCCGAAGTAATCGACAGCGGGAAATTTCCCAATGCGCAGGCCATCTGGACCATCAAATTGAATCTCGCGTAGCGATCGACCGCTATAACGAGTTAGATTCAAAATCCCGAAGACCTTCAACTTTATGCGTAATGGTAGCAAGACTTACGCATAATCGCTCTCCCGGATAGGAGATTTGGGATTGGCAGGATAACCAGGCAACATGGCATCCGAGAACCCGGATCCCACAATCAACTCAGTGCTACTAGGGAAGCTGGATGGGTCTCCGATATGGTCCCAATGCCAGTGGCTGTAGACAGATTATTAGCTTTCTGTTGAAGAAAATCCTATGCCTCAGAAATAAATACCTCCAGATAACCGCATTAATACTCTCTCCAGAGATGCCATTATCTTCTAGGATATCGACCACATTCTTTGATACTTGTATGTCGTAATTCGTGGTTGGTATATAGTTTGCCACAGTGGGAGCATAATTTTGATAATCTTTCCGGATTCCAAGATCAAACACCAGCTTTTGACCTGAGGGATGTTCCAACAGGAACGTCAAAACGGGTCCGGGTTTCTTTGTTTCCACACCAGGCACAGGGGGTTCCATGAACCGTTTGATGATAGCTGGCCCGAAATTGACCGGGTTGATCATTTTCACGCTCACCACCTCCTTGCCAGGAGGCAGCTCGATGTGTGGTCGACTTGCCATATTTGCTTGAAGTTAGAATCTTTCAAACATGGAGCGGATATGATATTCCTGCCTTTTCTTTATGAGACGTTGCGGTCAATAAATTGTGGGGAACTCCCCGCTCTGGAGCGGCATCGGCCTCGAGCACTATCGGTATTTCCTGATTCGGATAACCACGACTACCACGACTCCCATAGTCCCCTATGCCTTCGGCTGAAATTTCCAATTCTCTGAATCTTTTCAGCCTTCCAAGATTTGAACTCGTATCCGCGCTTCCCCGCATTTAGGTCCCCGCGTTTTCGGGAGCTAGACGCTGGCACCAACTAGTCATGGACAGCCGCACGGTTTTAATAAAACTTTCGGCTATACCATCGGTAATCCTGCTACGGATTCTCCGTCGGTTGTCTTATTATGCCTACATGATAATCCCAATACTGTCCCCAAGACGGAGCTCAATGACGCCCAGAGATTGGCATTGCTCAGCAGCTCCGTGTGGATCTGTTCCCCAGGATTTCAGTACGATATGTCCGGGGATAAAAAGGGGCTCCCAGCCATTGCCGTGAGGCTTTCTTTGGTTTTCTACCACACAATCTGATTTGATTCAGACATTTATTATGAGCTCAATCAAGGAAGATGTCTCCCATGTTTCCAATGGCGAGGAAGGAGATTTGAAAAAGCTCGACACCGCGCACGGTGATGAAGCGATCAAGGTCCTCGCGGTGTATGAGGGTGATCAAACCTGGACTCCAGAAGAGGAGAACAAGCTGCGCAGAAAGATCGACATGAAGCTTTTGCCTGTCCTGTGCATCACCTACGCATTTCTCTACGCCGACAAGGTCCTGCTTGGACAAGCGGTATGACCATCTCGTCACCTATAATACTCCAGGAACTAATCATCTCTGCAGGCTCTTTTCGGAATCAAAGATGATCTGCAGTTGAACAGCGGAAATCGCTTTTCCATGGCTTCTTCCATCTTCTACCTTGGCTTTATCTTGGGCGCTTATCCGGTCACCGTCCTGGCTCAGAGGTTTCCCATTGAACGGGTTGCTTCGCTGGCCATCATCGTTTGGGGGACAACTTTGATTCTCACACCTGCCTGTACGAACTTCCAGGGATTATATGCGCAAAGATTCTTTCTTGGCTTCACTGAGGCTGGTATCAGTCCAATTTTCATGATGATCGTGGTATGTATCCTTTGCTACCCCCATCAAACGACTGTGGCTTACCGTGCTCTAGGGTGGATGGTACAAAAAAGACGAACAGTCTCTGAGAATGGGGTATGTTTTTATACCAAAATCGTGCAGGCTTGGCCTCTAGCTGACCCCCTTCTAGTGCCTGGTACTCATGCACAGGCTACGTATCGATTTTCTCGCCTCTTGTCAACTACGCACTTGGGCACCTCGGAGGAGCTTTCGCTCCATGGTTCTATATGTACTTTCTCGCTGGCGGTCTCACCATCATCTGTGGTGTCGTGATCTACTTCATCCTCCCCTCCGATCCTATCCGAGCCAAGGGCTTCAACGACAGAGAGCGCTTCATTGCGGTATCTCGTATGAGAACGAATAACTCTGGAGTCAGAAACACGCATTTCAAAGGTGGACAGGCTGTTGAGCTTCTGACCGATATCAAGTTTTGGCTTATTTTCTTCTACGCTCTGTGTGGTATGTTTGCCAATGCGCCCATCTCGACTTTCCAAGCTATCATTATCGATGGATTTGGCTTTAACCCACTCAACTCCCTGCTTCTCATGATACCTTCTGGCATTTATGCCGGTACCATGATGTTGATCACAACATATCTCGCGTACAAATTCCCTGGCTGGCGCGCATATCTCGTCATCATGGCCCAATTGGTAACGATGACTGCTGCCATCATGCTCTGGCTTTTGCCTCGGTCGGAACTTGGAGCACTCCTTTTTGCCTGCTACATTCTCACCACCACCGGTGCTGGATATGCAGTTACAATGGGCCTTTTCCTTGCCAACAACGCTGGCTATACCAAGCGATCGCTCGCTTCCTCTGGATTATATATCGGATACTCGCTCGGTAGGTTATCTCCCACAAATATGAAAGTGCTGTCACTGATCTCCACTAGGCAATTTTGCAGGACCCCAGGTCTTCCGACACGAAGATTCACCTCACTACAATCTGGGATTCATCGTGGTGGTTATCACGGCGATTATTGCTGGTCTCTTGGTGTTGGTGTATCGCATTCTCTGCTCGATGGAGAACCGCCGTCGCGACAAGATGGGAACCGTTGAAGGCTTTGAACATGCCTACGAGGATGATCTGACTGATAAGATGGTGAGTGACCCTACTCACAGTTTTATTTCATTTATTGACAGACCCACAGAATATGCAATTCCGATATTCGTTGTGAGAGTAGCGACGCTTGGGGGATTGGAGGTAGTTTGGTAGTGGTTTGGGGATTTTGAAGTACAGTAGGTAGATTATTTAGTCTTGACCTCAGGAGAATACAATATTTTGTCTATAGTGGATCTATGCAATACGTTTTCAAATATCCGCATAATTAATGGTCATCCTTCAAAGACCTGTCTGCAGCCCCCTTCCAGTTCCCCGCTCCTCTGACAATTCAGATTCCTGTACAATGGGGTAGGGAATGTAGCTAGCAAGCTCGAGTAGTTTCATAATGTATCCATGCAATATTCCTCGAGATCTAGGGTCAGATAGATCAGTATTTTACCAAGATGTTGTGGTGTAGATGTCATCAATCTGGCTCGTCTTTGATCCGTACTAATCAGCAAAGCGGAAAAATATATTTCACAATGTTTGATTCTCGACTCTTATTTAAGCTGATGATCAAGTTTATCCGAGTAAATGACTGGATCATAGAAACAGACACAATCTTGAACAGAGTAAACGTAAGAAAGTAGGTATATATTCAAGTTTCGGACTATATAAAACAAACATAATGACTCAGATCGTGGAATATCGACGGGCGGAATACATCCTCAAATGGTCATCTATTTCGCCACCCAGCTCATATCATTACTAGTAGACTCCTCAGGACCACCTTTAGCAACCTGCACATACCATCCCAGATCGGCATCCGGCTTCATCTCCCACTCAGTGAATCCATTTCCAAGGAAGCGGAATGGATTCCCCGAATTGTAGGCAATGTCATAATGTTCTGAGCGGATCTCGCCGAGCAGGCGGCGGAACAGGATGGCACTTCCTGCGAAAAGATGCGTGACCCGGCCGTCCACGGTGCCTCTCTTATACCAGCTGCGACAGGATCCGGACCACACCAAGGTCTTGTGAATCTCGTCTTGATATTTGCCGAATGCGTGCACGGAGGAGGCCTTTGGAACCATGTATTTGATGTCTTCTGTGGCGATCTTCTTGATCATTTTGACAAAGTAGTCGCCTGTCCAGTTCAAGGCCTCGACAAGGGATCCGTGTCCGCAGAGGCAGTTGGGGCCGGCCATTGTGAAATAGTTGGGGAAGTCATCGGTTCCCACTGATAGATAAGAGGTGGGTTCATCCTTCCATTTCTTGGCGAGGTCAACTCCGTTTTGGCCAACTAGTGGATACTGAGGGCATTTGGAGACGTCAAAGCCAGTAGCACAAACCACTGAGATACTATGTTAGGAATTGCTGAAATTGGAGGGCAAGGGAGAAACTTACAAACATCGCACTCAAACTCTTGCCCGTCAGCAGTGACAATACCCTTCTCGGTGATCTTGGTAATTGGGCTGGAGGTGAGACTGCAATTCGGCTTTGAGAATGACTCCAGGTAGCCAGGGCCCGGGGTCACACGGCGGCAACCAATCTCCCACTTGGGGATAAGCTGTTCGCACAGCACAGGATCATGGTTGAGCTTCTCGGCCATCTGGGCTGATGCCAGCGCCACGGTAGTCTCGTTGGGCTCTCCTTTCATGAACTATATGATGTCTGATATTAGCTTCGGTCAGGTAGAGGGGTGGAAGGCTGTCATCTTACCAAGCGGAATGCCTTGTTAGTACGGTGAATAATTCCTTTGCGGTACTCCCGATGTTGAACAGGATCACGGAAGCTCTCTTTTTCTTCTTCAAGGAATTCCGGGTTGGTGTCTTCGGTTTCTCGCCCAAGATGCTTTGAGGGCGGGACACGATAATAGACCCAAGCTGGACCCCGAATAAAGTTGCGCACCGTGGTACCGGGTAGTTTGGTCATTTGAGGTACAATCTGGATTCCAGATGACCCATTGCCAATCACAGCTATGCGCTTGTTGGAGTAATCAAAGTCATGGTCCCATCGTGCAGAGTGCGTAACATGACCTTTGAAATCGGAAAGTCCGGTAATTTTGGGCCAGGCAGGGCTCCTATCGAGATGTTAGTTCAGCTTCTCCTTAAGTTCACATGAGACCGGTTGAGTACGTACACTAAGTTACCTTGACCTGAGATCAAAATGTCACAGAACTCATCACGCTCGACTCCGCCGTGCTTCACAGTAACCTTCCATTTTCCTGAATCTTCCTGCCAGTAGGCACCGACAACCTGAGTTTCTAACTGGATATCACGATCAAGGTTCCACTTCTTTACTGTCGACTTGATGTATTCTTGAATCGCAGGTCCGCTGGAATAGAAGCGGGGCCAGTCTGGGTTAGGGTCGAATGGGAAGGCCTGAGTATGTCAGCAGACCATCTACATCAGGAGCGGTTGTCATAAACTCACATAGATATGGGATGGCACATCGCATTGCACGCCGGGGTAAGTATTGACGAGCCACGTTCCTCCGATATCGCTTCGACCTTCGAAGATCGTGTGATCAACAAAGTCTTGAAGCTCAGGGTAGGCATGTTGGAATTTGTGCGCAAGCACAAGCCCAGAAAAACCGGCGCCGATCGTGATAATACGTAGTTTGCGAGGGTTTAGGGCGTATTGGTCATTGAATGGAACTGTGTGTTCCTTGAGCCGGTCGTTAGTCGTGGATTTCGGACCATCAGCAGGTTTGCCGTTGATATGGTCAGCGAAATGCGCACGCAAGGTCTCTGGGAGGTCCTTCGCGTCTTTGGGAGTGAAAGCCGCAGGGACCTTACCATCCGCCACGGGTGACGTTGGTAGGTCTGGGGTCACGATTGATGGTGCCATTGTCGTGGGAAAGTGGTCTCAATGGAAGATGAAGAGGGGGTAGAAGATCCTAGTTGAACTTTTGATAACCCGAAACTTCTCTGGTCAAGTAAGGCGATCGGCAGATTGGACTTCTTGATGCATTTCGATGTCGCAAGTCCCCAACTTTATACTGGAACAGGAATGCGGGAGACAAGTCCCGCTATGCGTCCATCCCTGCCTGCTCAGGCCAAGAGGAGGGCATTCTGTGCCGACAGAGCAACTCATCCCGCCCCACCTGGCGCCGTGACTTTACTGAAGCGAATTGCATGCCGAAGGGTTCAATCGTATGTGCAGCTAAAGCCAAGGCTGGGGTAGCCGAGATGTCCTGGCGAAAAGGGGCTAGCGCAGCACGTGCCTCCGGCTATCCCCTTTTGGACACGCCGACATCGTCTGTTTGTTGTGGCTGTCTCGGTTGTGGGGGATAATCTGTTGAACCCGAAGTCTGGTTCGAATGATTATTCTAATTGCAAATAGCCGTGTGATTTCGCTCAAATGAGAATTGGCCGCGCGGCACTAATCGGCCTACAGCTCTCGGCCATGCGAACAAGGATGATTGGAAGCAACATACCCACCCAGCGACTAATTGGGTACACAAATAGTTCGAAGCTCAGCTACGGACTGGGGCATCCCCTTGCGTTCTGAGTGCCAGAACCTCTATTCGATCTCGGGGGGCTCCCCGAAGCCCTCCCCGAAGCCCACATTCCCACTAGCGATACCCACGTGGCATAGTACCACAACAATATCTCTCTCAGCGATCTTCAAATAACTTTGTTGAATGATGCGGATGAGACCAGCTTCTGGTACCACATTCCGTGGCCACGACGATGACTGAGTCGCAGTGGGTGCAATCTGCCCCCGGAACGGAGAAGCGCAAACGCGCCGGACTCGCATGTATCTCATGCCACTCTAAGAAGGTTAGACGTCACCAAACATCCCTCTATGGAGGTTTCCACGTACTGAAGAGGTATCGCAGATTAAATGTGATCTCCAAGCTAAGCTACTTCAAGCCCAAAGCGGTTGCAGCAACTGCACGTCAACAGGAAGAGTCTGCAGGTAGATGTCTCCCCCCATAAATTGTCTCTCAAGCGTCACCAAAGCTAATCAATGACCTACAGTCCTCGGCCATCTAAGCGTGAAAAAGGTCGATTGCCTCCTGATACTGAACAATCACCGGTTTCTGCCATTCCTGCCGATCCTTGCGGCGACGATCGGGTCAAGATTGCATCTTCACACTCCAGTGTAGCGCAAACTGATGCTAGCATTGGCTCTGGCGATGTGTACATGCATGTAGGCCAAGATGTCTCACCGCATAGCCTAGCTCAGCCAAGCTTTCTCGACTTCGATTCAGGGCTCCTTCCACCTCCCGAGCGAATCACCTTCAACACAACTCAGGCTACTCAAGTACCTGAGCGGCCTAAGTCTAAAAGGGCACAACTTGGCAGCTCCCCGCTGGTGGTGGATGCTTGGTCATCGGGCTGGGCACCGTCATCCCATGAGCAGTCACATAAAATTCAAGAGGAAGTCGTATTGCGTCCAGATTATGGTCCAGCAAAGAGCAGCACTAGTACAATCACACATGATGCTGTAGAATCAGCGGCGGGATCTGAGAAGAACGACCCGAGTAGCCCTATCGGTTTACAACCGGATCTGCGTCAAAGCTTTACGGAAACATACTTTGAATACTGCTACACCTGGTGTCCAATACTCGACAGAGCGACCTTGTCGAGGGAACTTGCAGAATCACCATTGCTGGATAACGCAATTGCGACATTAGGGAGTCACGTTCGTCCCCCCCTGATACCACACGCAGGGCCAGCAACTTATTACGATCGCGCACGGCGACTCTTCTATGATGAAGAGGAGGAAGACCTGGTCGCCACCCTGAAAGCTGTCTCCCTCTTTTACTGGTGGGCACCCCGACCACCCTCGGTAACACACAGACACTCATCCTGGTGGTGGACTTCTGTTGTCATTAAACTCGCGCAACAAGCTGGCTTTTATCGCGAGTCCATTGCCAACGTGTCTAGACATGGAACCGAGCCATATATTCTGCGGCGAATATGGTGGACTGCATTTGTGAGTGTATCAATTCTCTCCCATGGTCTATTGATCAAAGAAACTAAACAATTATTTTAGGCCCGAGAACGTTTGACCGCGATCTGCCAGGGTAAGCCGTGCCTCATAGACCCCGAGGACTGTAATATACCACCACCATCTGTGCAAGATTTCCCCGATCTGGAAGATAAGAACAAAGCCGAAGTATTTGTGTATTGGGTTCGGCTATGCACTATTATTGGGCACATCGCCAAGAGACTGTCACGGTCGGCAAACTCATCGTCGACTACAAAATCCTTCCCTGCAGATTTGGGCCAAGACCTTATTGACTGGGTTCGGTCACTTCCACCCCATTTACAGCTTCGAATTGGGTCCCGCCATACATTGAACTTTAATCGTGATGTACACCAGCTTCATCTGCCTTATCTCGCTGTAATAATAGTCCTTCATCTGACGAGATCGTCACAATCCCTTCCACAGGCTTTGCCACCCGCTACGCTCGCGGGATCCTGCATTTCCCGCATTCTCAAGGATGTTTTGGTGAGGAGTGAGATCAGATCTTTGCAGCCAATTACTTGTTGGTACGTCGGCATGGGCTTTATGGCTCTCCTGCAAGCATCCAGGAGCGAGAGCCTCAAGGACGGCGCCAGTGCGGACCTAGAGATTCTGGCTCTCTCCATCAAGGAGCTGAAAAATATGTGGGCAACTGCCGGTCTTTTTGAACAGACTTTTGAGCGGCTACGATCGAACGACAAGTCCCTGGACTCGGAGGACTTCCCCAATCGTCACTTGGGAAATGAACAATCGGCTCGAGCTCTGAACTCGGAGGACGAAGTGTTTGAAAGTGGTATAGACTGGGTAGATTACTTCCCTTTTGTCTCCAGCCAGACGAGCGTCGTTGCCGGCAAGCTTCTGGTTCAACAAAAGGAAGAGGCGGGTTTCATTTTCTGGGATGGTTTGGGTGACATGGCCTCCGACACGATTCCCAACTATCAGGACTTTATGGAAGGACTTGAGAGCTGGGCTGATCCCAATTCCTTCCTGTAGTCTACCTTGGGAGTAGTCGCATTTGGTGATCCCATGTTATGGCAAAGGGACAGCGTCGGCTACCCCTTTTTGGAATCCTATTTGATTGGTCATCTAGTTAGTGCTTCTATCCAATCAGTCAGAACACAAGCCTTGATTCAACTACATGCACAATCCTCCATAAATGGCGAGTCAGCTCACCCAATCACTCTTTTCATCTTTATTTGCTCTTATTTGTGTCCTTTATCTCATTTTATGGGTACTCAAGACTGCCTTATCGGACCATTTTCGGTTTTCAGATACTACTAAGTACAATAGATGAAACAGCTGTAACCGCAATTATTCAGTCATAGTACGACTCCCTAATATATTACCAGTTCCGAGAGCCGGTTTCATCGGTAATTCCGGCATTTGACCAAAGAATCGACAGCAATACAAAGCCTCTTCAAGGCTTAGCGCAATGATTTACAATGTGAAAGCGAGATTAGACCTGAGGTAACGACGCATCAACAATCAACCAATTCAGCAGTACGGTGATTTGATTCATCAAAGCCTGCCACAAGATGTGTGACTTTTCAAAATATGGCATTCCCAGCAAGGAGTGGTTACGTGTGGAAGCCACTCTACCGGCCGCGAAAGAGCAGAGCTTGTCTGAACTGAAGCTCGCCGCCAACGAAGGTAGAGAGCTCATGGCGCGAAAGGCGATGGCTGAGTTTTTGAACCAAGTCTCCACGCAAGATCATCTAATTTCTGGCCGCGATGGCTACAAATTAGAGGCGAGAAGTTATCGTCCAATCTCAGCATCTCCAACTGAGCTCCTGCCCATTTACATGCACTTTCACGGGGGTGGCTTTCTGTTCGGCACTTTGAGCTCGGAAGATGCGGTATGTTCTCGACTTGCTGTCAACACTCAGGTTGTTGTTGTCAATATCAACTATCGCCATACCCCTGAATATACGTATCCAACCGCCTGGAACGATGCCGAAGACGCGTTTCTTTGGGTCTGCGAGAACACGGCTCTATTGAACGGTGATCTGGACAGAATCGTTATCGGTGGAATATCGGCCGGTGCATGGCTCGCCGCTTCTTTGACACAGGCAGCATCAAGCTCAAAGCTTCCAGTCTTGCCAACGCCAGCCATTTGTGGCCAGGTACTGATGATCCCTGCTCTAGTATACACTAAGTGCTATGACTCTCAATTACGTCAAATAAAAGACCCTAGTGTCTCATCGTATTCTCAGAATGAGAACGCGCCAATTCTGAATATGCGCAGGAAGCAGCTCTTTAATGGTCTTTTAAAAGTGGAAAATCCAGATCCAACTGACAAACGGCTGAACCCTGGGCTTTTATCTTCTGAAGACGCGAAGAAGTTGCCATCAACAACTCTGGGGATTGCGGGCTATGATCCTCTAAGAGATGAAGGGCTGCTATACGGCAAACTCTTGGCCGAAAATGGGTAAGCGAATGCTGCACCAAGCTTGATCCCTGTCTCTCACTAACTTGATCTTCAAGTGTACCAACCAATGTCAATGTGTTTAAGGGAGTACCCCACGGATTCCGACGATTCGGCGAGAGACTGTCGGTTTGCAAGCAATGGGATCAGATCATGGAAGATGGAATTCGATGGGCTTTAGCGAAACATTCTACCTCAGGACAGTTTATCATTAAGGAACATTGAGTAGCATCAGAATATTGCTAAATATCTATTTGCGTTGTTGAAATATCTCCTTTCGTCGGGTCTTTAATAGTCACATTTATCAGGCCTTTCAAGTACTATTTGTCTCACCAACGAAGTCGCTCTAGTATGAAGCATCATGACACCTGTGGGATGCTTCGCGCTAGAAGAGTAGAAAGAGACGACTCTTGCCCGGCCGTGTTGGGTTTGAATCCTCGACTCATAAATTTCAGACTGGATGTATCTCTCCTAGACCAACTACGTATCATCCCATGACAACATTGCATGACACGAACAATCGCCTCTAACTTCCACATCAATCCTGAACGGCTCTACAACTTCTCGTTTATTTTCCCTTTCTTTCCCCGTGCCGTTCCCCGGGATTCCCCACAAATGAGCGCGGGGTACATGGACCGATGCCGGACCGTGTCTTCGGCCATGTCGGTTATCCTAATTTGGAAGGCCGTAGAGTCTTTCGGGATATGTTCCGAAAAGATAGCATCTTCTCCGTTTCATCCACACGCATTTGAAAATCCAAGCCGGATATTCGGCAAGAGTTCCCCTCCAATATCTATGTGAAATGTTATTTATGATCACAACGCCATTTTTATAGAAAGAATTCTTCTCTAAAAGCCCGCAATAATATAGACACTAGTGGAAATTCTTAGAAGATCTCAAGTTTCTTACGATACAAGATTTCACCCACCATCATCTCTTGTTTGAGCCATGTCACCACCTTCAGCAATTATGGAGCCAGTGGCTTCTGTTATGAAGACACCGGGTCTCCAAAATGGAGTTAGCAACAAGACCGCCACCGCTCACCAGCATCGCCTCAATCCCGAGTATACCATTGTTGAAGAGCCCATCGGCACCCGGCGGCCACTTCGCGTCGTCTGCCTTGGGGCAGGGTACTCGGGCCTTATGATGGGTATTGTCTTCAATGAACGCATGAAGGATGCCAATGCAGAGTTTGTTATTTATGAGCGAAACGCTGATTTGGGAGGAACTTGGTATGAGAACCGGTAAGTTGGATGGGTTCTAGCGCATTTCTGCGATCTCATTCGCTAATTTGACGGTTATAGATACCCGGGATGTCAGTGTGATATCCCAGCGCATAATTATGCCTACAGCTTTGCTGCCAACCCTGCGTGGCCAAATTATTATGCGACATCAGAGCAGATTCATTCTTACATGAAAGATGTTGCCAAGCAATACGAAGTTGAGAAATATATCCGCCTTCAGCATTCAATTGAATCTGCGATTTGGAATGAAGAAAAGGGAAAGTGGGATCTCCAGATCCGGAATGGTTCCACCCTTATCCGAGACGAATGTGATGTCTTCATCAATGCCAGCGGTGTGTTGAAGTGAGTAATCCCTTTCCGGTTGTCTCTCATGTAGATGCTGACAGCATGGCATTGCAGCAACTGGAAGTGGCCCTCTATTGAGGGACTGGACAGTTTTAAAGGAAGGCTCATGCACTCAGCACACTGGGATTCCAGTTACGACTTCACCGGGAAACGCGTTGCCTGTATCGGAATCGGATCGTCAGGGATTCAGATTGTCCCTAAGCTTGCGAGTGGTACGTTTACAGGCCTAGTCCATCGAGTCTATCAAATAACTAACCTTGGTAGTGGTCGGGAATATGGATTGCTACGTACGAAGCCAAACGTGGATCAGCCCAGCTCCTGGAATCAACGAACCGACAGCGAATGATCCAGAAATGGACAAGGACTATAATTTCGCAGAAAGCACTTTAGAGCTATTCAAGGATCCTAAAGTCCTTCGTGACTACCGCGCTGCCATTATGAACCGAAGAGCAGAGAACTTCAATCGCGTGATTGCTGATTGTGATCTTCAAAAACAAGCTCAAGACATGTTCCGAAAGTCCATGACCGACCGTTTGGGTAACAGTGAGAAGGGAAAGCGCGCAGCTGAACTTCTTGTACCCTCCTTCCCAGTTGGGTGCCGTCGGCAAACACCGGGTCCTGGTTTCTTGGAAGCTATTATCCAGGACAATATCGAATTGAGATGGGATGATGTCTCAAAAATCACCGAGCGAGGAATTCTTACGCGAAGCGGCGTCGAGTTGGAATATGACATTATTGTCTGTGCAACCGGCTTTGACACTTCATTCAAGCCTTCATTCCCACTTGTGGGCCGAAATGGAGTCAACATGGCGGAGAAGTGGGAAAAGGACGTTCCAAAGGCATACATGGGCATGTGTGTGCCAGAATTCCCCAACTACTTTTGTATGTTATTCCCTTCCACCGCAGATTCTTTTTACTTACATGTTTAGGCTTCGTGGGACCCAATTCACCGCTAGCTAACGGGTCACTGATTCTCGGAATCCAAGCAACCGCCGCGTATATCTACAAATGGATGGAAAAGATGCAAACAGAGGGTATTCGCAGCTTCGAGATCGAGGACGACGTCAACGAGGAGTACAATCAGCACATCCAGAAGTACCTTGAACGTACAGTGTGGACTCGGGATTGCCGCAGTTGGTACAAGCGGGGTACCATCGATGGCCCAGTTATCGCCATCTACGGCGGATCCATCTTCCACCTCTTGGAGGCCATGAAGAACCCGCGCTGGGAGGACTTCAAAATGGATCGGACGCCTGAAGCTAAGATCAACCGTTTCTCATATCTGGGTAATGGAACTACTCTAAGAGAGGCCAAGGGAGGTGATATCGGTGTCACGCAAACGCTGGACTTTGATGAGTTCTGGAACCTGTTTAACCTTCCCCGGGTCCATGATTAGAAGGTCTGTGGGGAACGGTGTATATATAACTCCAATTTCTTTGTCTTTTTTCTATTGTGCAATCTCCAAGTTCATGAAATAGGTACCTAAACATTCTGCCCTCGGGACCTCGGGACTTGGAGCCTTTCAAATAGTACCGAGCAGTGGGGCTTAGTTTTCTTCCGATCTAGTATCATCGGCTATATTAGCTATATCTCTATATTTACAAACTACTCCGTACCTTGATCCCCATCATGTCGAACATATCACGCAACTTTTGATCACTACTTTATTTGTTTTTCTATTATGAGATTATGGTACTATGGAGAGCCCTTTGTTCTATTAGACTCGAACATAAAGAAGGGATAGAGCAGCCGCGAGTGTTATATATATTTCGAGCATTCATCACGTAGGAATATATATATATATATTCAACAATCATGTACAGCACTATAAAAGTTACAGGAAATCTTCCTCTCAGTACGGAATTAGTTCCGCTGTGCCTGAACTGCGAGTCTGACATCACACCCCGTAGCTATACCTAGGTACCTCCCTAGGTGGTTTAGAACCTTAAAAAAGGTCACTAAAATCGATTAGGAAGTCGACCCACTCCTTAAAGTTGTTTGCTCGCTATGCCTACCCAGAATAGGCTTAAACACCGCACTGTCGGCGCTGTGGTTATGGTACAAGATCAATAACCGACGTGGAGAAAGATTGGCGAATTGCCGACACATGGGGTCAATGTACGCATAACCTTTTGGGAGAGATGTATGATAGCAATATTAGATGAATGTAATGAAAGGGAATAAGATATTAGAAGTTGGATATGAAATACAGGTAAACCCTGGACGGTTCTTAATCGGGGCAGTCGACAAATATTGCCCAGTGTTCTATGGTGGTTGCCTGCATATCCAAGCAATTTCGGGATATGAGACCAAGCTCAAATTGATTCTGGACTGTTTATACTGGATCTGACAGCATAAGAATAATGTGGCAGTCGGCTTCTTGTGTACAACAAGTGCCGAACTGCCGACCCCACCCCCGCGAGATGCAGTGCATAACTTGGGGCCCCAGACTTGGCATCTTGGCAAAATCCCCAGGTCGAGCACTCATAGAACATTCTAACAGATTTGGCCTCAAACTTGACACTTTGACCCTATATCCTAGTCGTGATGCCAAGCTTGTCAATCACCGATATAGAGATATCTCAAATGCCGGTGTACATCATACTTGAAAATGTAGTATATATAACTGAGGAATCTGCCTCCCATCATGCCTCACTCAAGCAGCTCAGAACGGTCTTACATCACAGATAATCGTTGGACGCCTCGTTCAACAAAGATCGATCGCCATGAAGTTCCTATCGGGCTTGGCGCTACTATCCCTCATTCCTTCTTCGTTTGCTGTGCCTACAGCTAGCAATTCTCCAAGCAAGGACCTAGCTCATGAGGAACAACCCTTAATCAAGCTCAAGCCACAACGAACTTCCTCCCGAGAGCTCGTGAACCTTGATGGCCTATGGAAATTCACTCTCGCCTCTGGTCAAAATGACACAGCCCAACCCTGGACCGCGTCATTTCCCAAGAATTCTCTCGAATGTCCAGTCCCCGCGTCATACAACGATATTTTCGTCGATACCGAAATTCACGGCCACGTCGGATGGGTGTACTATCAGCGCGAGGTTTTCGTCCCAAAAGGCTGGTCTAAGGAGCAATATTTCGTGCGAGCTGAATCTGCGACCCACCACGGTCGTATTTATGTGAACGACCGTCTGCTCGCTGAGCATGTGGGCGGCTACACACCTTTCGAAGCCGATATCACTGAGTTTGTCAACGCTGGAGAGAAGTTCCGCTTGACAATTGGTGTCAACAATGAACTTACCCATGAGACCATTCCACCCGGCAAGATCACGGTCAGCGAGGTCACCGGAAAGAGAGTCCAGACCTATCAACATGACTTCTACAACTATGCCGGTCTTGCTCGCTCGATTTGGTTGTATTCTGTGCCCCGTCAACATATCAACGACATCACCGTTGTGACAGATGTTGAAGGTGAAACTGGACTGATCAATTACAAGGTCAAGGTGTCCAATAAGGGCACTGGAAAGGTCAAGGTCTCTGTCATTGACGAGGATGGAACCGTTGTTGGAACTGCTTCTGGAGCTGAGGGTACTGTCAAGATCAAGTCGGTCAAGTTGTGGCAACCCGGTGCCGCCTATCTTTACCAATTGGAAGCCAGCATTGTGGATTCCCGCGACAAGGTGGTTGACACCTACAGCGTGGCTACAGGTGTGCGCACTGTTAAAGTCAGCGGGACCGAATTCCTCATCAATGGCAAGCCCTTCTACTTCACCGGATTTGGGAAACACGAAGACTCCGCAATTCGCGGCAAAGGACATGACCAAGCGTACATGGTTCACGATTTCCAACTGCTGAACTGGATTGGCGCAAACTCTTTCAGAACCTCACACTACCCTTATGCGGAAGAGGTCATGGAATTTGCTGACCGGAATGGAATTGTCGTGATCGATGAAACACCCGCCGTGGGTTTGAACATTGCTTTGATGGGTATTTCCAAAGACACTGCTACAAAAACATTCAATGAAGAGAACATCAACAACAACACCCAGCTGGCCCACAAGCAAGCCATTCGCGAACTCATCAGCCGGGACAAGAACCACGCCAGTGTTGTTATGTGGTCGATTGCGAACGAACCCGCCTCGCATGAAAACGGTGCACACGAATATTTCGAGCCACTGACCAAGTTGGCTCGTGAGCTTGATCCAACTCGTCCTATCACATTCGCCAACGTCGGCGACGCAACATACAAGTTGGATCGGATCTCGGACCTGTTTGATGTCACTTGTCTCAACCGGTATTTCGGATGGTATTCCCAAACTGGCGACCTTGTCGAAGCAGAGGCTATGCTTAGAAAGGAGTTAGCTGGCTGGGAAGAGAAATTCGAACGTCCGATTATCATGACTGAGTACGGCGCGGATACTCTTGCGGGTCTTCACTCGACTTTTGCTACGCCTTGGTCCGAGGAGTTCCAGAATGATATGCTCAACATGTATCATCGCGTTTTCGACAGTTTCAAGTCCGTCACGGGCGAGCAGGTTTGGGCTTTCGCTGATTTCCAGACGAATGTGGGTATCGTCCGTGTGGATGGTAATAAGAAAGGTGTGTTTACCAGGGACCGAAAGCCGAAGATGGCGGCACACGGTTTGAAGGCGCGATGGACCAATATCACTGCAAGTCAGTGAAGCCATGTTGCCTAAGATCTTTGTTTAGCTTAGGTATATATGACTGCCTGCGATCGTAAATTGCGATCGATGTCAACTATAGTTTACCCAATTTACCTCTTTCATCTTGAGTTTTACGCTTTATTTCATCGGTGCATAGGCTATATATATGCCTAGGGTATCAGGCAAGGAATCCAATACCCGTCCCAATCATATTACGTCGAAACATCTTCAAAATAAACAAAATGGCTGGGTATTATGTTCACAGATCTGCAGCAGGACAGAAAGTCCTGTGTCAAGATGGCTCGTGTCGTATTACACGGACACTCCCGACACTTCTAGGCAGCTAGATACCTAAACGTACATGTGTAATCGATAGAACAAATCTTGTAGTTAAATTCATGCCGACGTTTGCACGGCATAGTCCTGGGGCTGAGACACTGAATGCGCTCGCTTATCGTTGCCACCTTTTACCCGCCCAATGCCGACCATCTGCAACACTTCTCTCCAGAAGCCAGTAGGCGGTTCAAGGAAGCTATCCTCATACGCATCGATCAGGGGTCGTTCCCAGACAAGATCAGCTTCATGAGGCTTCACGAACTTCGTTTTCTTGATGACTTTCCAGATGACGAACAGGGGAGGGATGACTATTTGCATGGTGTAGTTTGACCAGAAGGTGGACACCGACCAAGGCTTGTATGCGGGGTAGCCATAGACGATAGTCACGACGATCATCCAAACGCATGCAATGTATGCGCAGTAGGGTTGGAAGCGTCCGAAATAGGAGAAGGATCTGCGGTCAATGCCTTGGGCTTTGCAAGCGCGGTGGAAGAAGATATACGTCAGACTCATGACGATATAATTGATGAGACCTGAGTTACGCTGTCAGTACTTTAATCGTTGTTGGAGTTGGGGAAAAGGAAGATTTCTTACCTCCGGCAGTGATGAGGTTGGCGAACCACGTGAGGACGATGGATGAGCTACTGGAGCACTGCAAGAAGGAAAGCAAAGGGAAGATCATCACGAATGCGAAGCAGTAGATGGGTACACCGTTGCGGCTAGTGCGAGTGAGAATTCTTGGGGCTCTTCCTTCGAGTGCTAAGCCGTACAGGGTACGGATAGCGCAGTAGGTATAGGTATTGCCAGCAGAGAAAATGGAAGTCAGCAAGAGGCTAAAGGATTACGGTCAGTATTTGGTTCATCGAAGTTAGGCTCTTTTTGATGGCACTGACGCGTTGATGATGGAAGGGAAAATTGAAATTCCCATGTTCCGCATGCCAATAACATATGGCGATGCCGAAGCAGAACCAGAAGAACCGCCCGTCACAACCTCCTTCAGCTGCGGGTCGTTCGCGGCACAAACGATACCCACGGCCAAAGCACCGCCGATAAAGAAGATACCGAATCGAATGTAGACTGTCTTGAAGGCATTCTTGATATAGATGCGGGGACGCTTTGCTTCAGCTGCGACCATGGAGATGTACTCGGGACCGACGACGGCGAAACAAGCCGACCAAAGAGACCCGAGGAAGCCTTCAAAGCGACCAAGGGCGCCGGTGTCCAGATACTCCATGAAAGAGCCGGGGTTGTTCCAGTGGCGGAAGCCATAGGCATCGTGGGTCGGGTTCCCACCAACCATGGTGATGAAGGTGAAGAAAAACAGAGAGAAGATCAGAATGACCTTTCCACCAGACAGCCAGAATTCGGCTTCACCATAGGCTTTGACAGCCAAGATGTTGAGGAAACTATGCAAAGGTTAGTATTTAGATATAAATTCAAGTGTATGCAAATGGTCGCCAATCAAGCTGCCAAATAGCGAGACTAGGGAGAGCTACTCACCCATAAGCCAAGATAACACCAATACAGACGCCTGCGACTGGACCGGGTTCAGTAAGCGCCGGAGTCCAGTAAGACAATACGAGGGTGAAAGCCGATATCTCAAAAGGAATTAAAAGGGCCTCATAGAAGCTAAAAGGGATGTTAGCACAGATAGCGGGGAAGATTTCGGCTCAGCCGAAAAGAGAACCGACAAAAAGTTCCAGCCGACCATGAAACCCAGGGCGTCATCCACCCATTTTCCAGCCAAGCGAATGAACCCACCGCTGACAGGGAAGGCGGTGGTCATTTCAGCGATGCAGTTATTCACCATGGCCAGAAAGATACATTGGACGGTAAAGGCAATAAACAAACTGCCAGGACCTCCATGGTAAAGACCCGAGCCGATGCTCACGAAAAGGGCCGTTCCGATGGAGCCACCGATGGCAATCAGCTGGATCTGACGGTTTCCAAGATGACGTTGAAGGTTGTCGGCATTTTCAGCCATCACACCTTCTTGTACATCACGAGGGCCACCTTCGCTCTTGAGACCGAGTGTTTCCAGCACACTGCCGCTCGTTTCCTTTCCCTTGTCGCCTAAAATAGCCATGTTGTTTTCATTCCTGTCTGTAGGGTTTAGTTGCTGATATAGTGTGGATAAGGGGTGAGCGAAAGAAGCTGGATGGTGCTGTGGCTTTTCGTCTAGATTCTGAGGTATAGGTTCTGCAAGGGTTGAGGTGGATCGGCGGAGATCCGGGGGCGGGTGGATCTGCTACAGAGAATCGGGATGTCGGGGTATATCGCAAGGGCCTAGGGTTCGCGTGGACAGTCTTGTTGCTTTGGATGTTGAAGTTGCCACGGCAAGGGCAAATATCGGAGATGTCGGGTCTTTAGGATGGGATTTCCGTTCAATACGGAGCTTAGAGAGACTTGGAGGATGTGCCAATAGAAGGATATTTTGAGAAATCAAAGGAAAGATGTAGTCAAAAGCAGAAGCCAGAGACATATAATAAAGAACTTCAGGGCCGAAACGTGGGAGTCAAGGAATCTTAAAGGGATTTCGCAAGATTAAAGAGATTAGGGAAATAGACCCATGTAAGCCCATGTAAAGCCCTGGCAAGCCATCTAAGCCATCTAAGCCATACAAAAGTAATACAAAAGCCGTACAGCATAATGACGCAGTTTAAGTTGGTTAGGTATTTTGATTGGCTTGGAATACATTTGACCTCCGCACGGGCTGCGACCTGACCCGCATCCGGACACGAGCCGGGCGTGGATCTTCCGGTTTTATCTCCAAGTCATCGTTTGATGGATTATACTACCTAAATGGTCTTAGAACGTTTGTGCCCTAATTCAGTTACGTGCGATTCGGGGAGTCCGAGGTGCACGCTCCCCTTCCAAGGTATTATCAGTCGCATTCAATGTCTCATTTGGATTTTACAAAGTTGCCTTAAACTAAAAGTGTACTCCGTGTATACTCTGTAATCCGTATAGTCTTGGCGGTCTTGGACAAATGCCCTTATCGCGTGTCCTCGCTGGCCCTTTCCAACTTGGAACCTTCAGGGGCCAAACTTCCAGGAACGGGCCAAATTCATGCATATTACGTAACCTTTCGAGATAGCAGTTTATGATAAGCAGTATAACAGCCCAGGACTGAGATTCACTCTTGTTAAACAAGGACAGTCTAGAAAACGTAATATAGATCTAATCGGCAGAATTTGCAGGTCGCACTAACTGGGTACGTGCATATGCCAAGACACGGTTCGGTCATAAATGATTGGTCAACCAGTTCTTCCCTGCGTCTCCATGTATTAATAACAATTCTACTTGTCACATCATGGCTTCCATATGTGTTTCAAGCATACTCGAGAAAACCGTGTACAGGTTCTAAAGTGCTCTTAATCTCTCGATCTTAAAAGGGAATCCTTGGCGGACTTCAATTTGGGGTGTTCTCCGAGCGTATCATGCCAGACCTTTTCTTTGAGGCTTCGACAAACATGGCCATTCTCATAATGAGAGTACTCGGCTCGGAAACTATTCAGGTCTGTGTAAAAGAAGATAACGCATTTTTCCTCATATCAAACCGCCAAAATATATTTCTCATTGAGTTGACATGTGTGGGTCTCTTGCACTCTTTCCTTGCTTTCATTCTAGAGAAAAAGATGCAAGCTTGCTGGTAGTCTCGCCGAGTACGCAACTCTCGTATACCTTGCGTCCCTGCAAATGCATATAGAATTCACAACGGTGATCAATGAGTTGAGATCCTAAAGTGAGTTCCGATTGCCCCTGGCCTGCCACATACCCAAGGTCGTTATATATTTTCACAGGGGTATACTTGGTCGAATAGATCTCATGGGTTTGAACCACCCAATTGCTTCGTTCCTGTGCGAGTATGCAGTGTGTACTTTCTCTCCATCTTCTGGGTTATACATGGAAAACTCATTTTCACGGATTAAGCCTACCGTTCTCTCCATGCTGTCTACTTACCTATAAAACCGAGAAGCGAGAAACGGGAGAAAATATCTTAAGATAAACCTAAACAGAATATCTGAAAAGACCACTGAAAAGACTACTGAAAACATAAGTGGCCAACTATTCGTGTACATCGATCAAGTTTCACGCTAATCAGACAAAACTGGGGCTAATTTGCATATCACGTGGTCTTTTGATTTCCGGGGTTGCTTTGAAATTGCCTCGCCACAAGAGGCTGACCCCCGGAACGCGCAATCACGTGATACCACTCCGTGAGTCAACTCCGAGGTCGGGAATTGGGAAAAGTTTGCTAAGTGAACTCACCAATGTCTCCGTGTTCGATGTTGTTGAAGCGCGTGGCTAGGCCTCCGGCCGCCATGATGTGCAGATCGGTGAGTACAGCTTCACCTCATGACCACCCAATTCAATCTGACTCCCCCAGGTTCGGCCTCGGTGGACTCCGTCCTTCGGTGTCCCAAGCAGGACAATTCATCCCTTGCGATCGGTCCCGAATTCGCTCTCTCGCTCGCTGAGTACGACAGCCGCCACTCGGCTCGAAGGCTTCCCCCCCCAGGTCGAGAATGCCACCTCAATTCCTTCCTCTGAGACTCCCTCCGAGAAGCGGACGCCGCAAACCTTGACCGAGAAGATTGTACAACGCTATGCTGTCGGTCTCCCCGAAGGAAAGCTCGTTCGGAGCGGCGACTATATCAGTCTTGCCCCCGGGTACTGCATGACTCACGATAACTCGTGGCCCGTCGCCCTCAAGTTCATGTCTATGGGAGCTAAGAAGGTCAACGATCCAAAGCAGATCGTCATGACCCTGGACCACGACGTGCAAAACACTAGCGCGGCGAACCTTAAGAAATATGAGCAGATTGAGACTTTTGCTAAGCAGCAAGGTATCGACTTCTATCCTGCGGGCCGGGGTATTGGGCACCAGATTATGGTCGAAGAAGGATACGCGTGGCCGGGTAGCATGGCGGTAGCCTCAGACAGCCACAGTAACCATTATGGTGGAGTTGGTTGCCTTGGAACCGCTGTTGTGCGAACCGACGCTGCTAGTATTTGGGCAACGTCGCGGACATGGTGGCAGATTCCTCCTGTTGCACGGGTAACGTTCACCGGAACGCTACCAGTAGGTGTGACAGGTAAGGATGTGATTGTCGCATTGTGTGGTCTCTTCAATAGTGATGTACTCAACCATGCGATCGAGTTCACCGGCTCCGAAGAGACTATGTCAAGCCTTCTTGTGGATAGTCGCCTCACGATTGCCAATATGACGACTGAGTGGGGCGCCCTCACCGGCCTCTTCCCTATTGACAACACACTGAAACGCTGGCTGCGATACAAGGCTACCGAGGCTGCGATGTCTGACGACCGCACAACCCGGGAGCGTATCACGCACGAAAGGATCGACGAGCTTTACGCGAACCCGCTTACAGCTGACCCCGATGCGCAGTACGCCAAGCAACTCTACCTCAATCTCTCTACTCTCTCGCCTTACGTCTCAGGTCCCAACTCCGTTAAGGTCGCAACACCACTCAACGAGCTCGTCCAACAGGATATCAAAGTCAACCGCGCTTATATCGTCTCTTGCACCAACTCGCGTGCTTCTGACCTCGCGGCCGCCGCTAAGGTCTTCAAGGACGCCGCCAAGGCTAACCCCGACACGACCCCCAAGATTGCCGACGGTGTCAAACTCTATATCGCGGCTGCTTCCGTGCCCGAACAAGAGGCTGCCGAATCCACCGGCGACTGGCAGGCTCTCCTCGATGCTGGTGCCCAGCCCCTTCCTGCTGGTTGTGGACCTTGCATTGGCCTCGGAACAGGTCTTCTAGAGCCCGGCGAGGTTGGCATCAGTGCCAGTAACCGTAACTTCAAGGGTCGCATGGGCTCCAGAGACGCTCTCGCATACCTTGCAAGTCCCGAAGTCGTGGCTGCCAGCGCTCTCAGCGGCGTTATCACTGGCCCCGGCTCTTACCAGGTGCCCGAGGGCTGGTCTGGCGTTGAACACGGATTCGGCACCGGTCTCGAACCTACTACCGAGAACGAGCTCACCACCCTACTCCAACAGATGGAATCTCTGATCGATCGGGTCGAGTCCGCTGGAGCCGAGGACAAGCCTGCTACCGAGATTCTGCCAGGATTCCCCGAGCGCATCAGCGGTGAGATCGTCTTCCTCGATGCCGACAACCTCGACACTGATAGCATCTACCCCGGTAAATTGACCTACCAAGACAACGTCTCCAAGGAGGATATGGCCACTGCTTGCATGCAGAACTACGATCCCGAGTTCAAGGGCATTGCCAAGCCAAGTGACATCCTCGTCGCCGGCTTCAACTTCGGTTGTGGTTCCTCACGAGAACAGGCTGCCACTGCCATTCTGGCAAAGGAGATTCCTCTCGTCGTCGCTGGCAGCTTCGGAAATATTTTCTCCCGAAACAGCATCAATAACGCGCTCATGGGCCTTGAAGTCCCACGTCTTGTTGAGCGTTTGCGTGCCAGCTTCGCTCAGCCCGCCTCTGGTGATGTCGCTGGCCGCCAGCTGACGCGCCGCACAGGCTGGACTTTGACCTGGGACGTGAAGCGTAGCATCGTCGAAGTCAAGGAGGGTGAGTCGGGAGAGACTTGGACTGAGCAGGTCGGCGAGCTGCCGGCCAATGTACAGGAGATCATCGCGGAAGGTGGCCTCGAGGCGTGGGTTAAGGGCAAGGTTGCTGAGTCCGGGTGAGGACGCATTAACTAGGCCAGACGAATGCCGGTGGGAAACACTGGTTCAGAGAACCTGCTGATGTGTTCATGTCCTAGGTAATCACCGGCATTCACTTGGCTGTTGTATGTTTTGGATATTTACTTTTTGTACTATTTTTCTATCATTAGCAGGTACCATAGAGAAGGCTGCTGACTCTTTTATAAGGGCACGTCTTTTAAAACAATAAGAATATACTAGAACATTTTCACCAGAGATGATCTTTATTTTCTCCCTCCTTATGTGCCTACATCAAACACAGTCGAAGGTGTGCTGGTCGCTTGGCCCGATTACTACAAACAGCATCTCATCCCGAGGTCATCGACTACAGGCATCCACCGTCTCTACATCAGCAATATTTTAGCAGTCAATTGTTGACGACTCTTACCGACACTATACAAGACACTACTTGAAGCTTGAAAAGCCCATACTCCAACTCCATGACGGATATGGAAGTTGGATTGGATACGGAAGGCACGATGGTAGGAAGACTAACTCCAATTCGTGCCTAGGTTTGTCCTGAATCCTTTGGCTGAATACTTCACTTCTGTATCAGCTATCAGCCCTGCATAACGCTAGACTCCTGGGTTCCAGTAGCTTGGCCATGGATGAATTGGATGACTGTCTTAGACTGTGTGACAAAACCTCCATTAATATTGGACTTTGATTGCAGCCGCGGTCTATGAAATTGGCCGCAAAGACAAATTCATTTCAATTTTGAAGATCTCCCAAGTTTAACAAACGGCTTTCGTTGTCGACGGTTTACTTGCTACGTGTGTACACTTCTCACACGCGAGCCTGAGTTATGATGGTGTTCCTTTTGATAATACCGTGTGCCTGCTGTCGGGCTTCTGTTGGAAGCCGAAGCACCGTGAAATTCCCGTTGACAAAGAGCAGATATAATGTCTAATCGAATCAAATAAGAAGCTGAAGCATTAATAAATTATTGCAGAACAAATCTGGCGGCAGCTTCATGGATCTCTTCCTGCTCCTTCGGCCATCCGAGAATAGTTCCCGCAACATAAACATCATGCGGCACATCTGGAACTTCGAGATGTTCGACCACATTGCCCGTGACAGCGCTCATAGCGTTGGCAAACCCACGAACACTATCAGCGAGAACCTCGGCGCCTCCCGCCTGAACGAAAATTGGAACCGGGGTCGCAAATGGATGCAGTGCTGGAGAGATATACGGATCATCTAGTCGAACGGTCTCAGGTGGCGCAATAGCCCTTGCGCCCCATGCCATCATACGCGGCTCGACATAATCGGTCTTGAGATTCCTGTTTGTGCTGACAGCCTCCGGATCACCTTCGAAGCAATACTCGACCGAGGGCGAAAACAGAAGACAAGCCTTTGGAGGTGGGAGTTTGGCGAGTTCATGGTCTTGTGCCTCCTTGATAGAGGCAAGATAGCGCAGAAGTGCGACTGCAATTGTCGAGCCTGTAGAATCGCCTGCGAGGACGATGCGCAATGGGGAGATTCCCATTTCTTGGGTGAGGTAGATGTATGCTGTCACCGCATCTTGCATAGCCCCGGGATATGGTGTTGGGTTATTTCCACCGGCGAGACGGTACTGCAGCCAGAACGAGCGAGTACTCTTGCCCAGACTGTTGTTCAGCAATGTTGCCGTGGGCCCCGAATCCTCTGGCCGTCCAGTCAGCCACAGGAGCGACCCAGAATGGAAGGACAAAACCACTAGGCCTTGTTCTTCTAATAGCGACTCCTTCGATGGTAGATTTGGATACCAGGTACCGCCGACCGTCTCTGGCTTGACAGTGTCACTCGTGAAGTCACCACAATACGCAGAGGCTGGCGCTGGGTCGATGGTCACCCAGCGATCGCCAAGTTCGCCCGGGTCCAAGCTCAACGATTGTGTGAAACCGACCTCCGTGATAATATGGAAGACTCGCTCGAAAAGCCGCGTCATGCAGGCCTGACGATAGGTCCATGTTGGACACTGGCGCAAAGAGCTTGGAATGTAGTAGATACTATAGAAGAAAGCCTCCAAAACCCCCCGAAAGATAGCGATGATGATCCAGATGGCAAACCCTGGCTGTCGAGTGCGCCAGCCGTTGGGTATCGTATCATTATCTGCAAATGATCGCGTCATGTCACCGATCAGTCTTGCGTTATGTGGGAAAAGTGAAATGTTGAGATGTAGAACAAAAACTTGCCAAGGATGCTAAGCCTTTATGACTTTGAGAGAAAATACTGGGGGCCTAGAATAGCTCGCAACGTAAGCCAGAAGAAGCTACCCTAAAGTCAATCATGCGCTAGCGTCGGGCGAATCAAGTGGAGTAGATTCAGTAAGCCTCTTTGATTTATCTCTTCCGTTTAGAAGTATGCTCAAGCAAGTTTTTCCCTATCGATCGATCCTTGCACCATCAAATACTTCAAGGCTCTATAGATTAAGCTGCGCATCCACACTAGAATCATCAGATTAGGTGTCATTTCATCCACCAAAGTATTGTGATATTGTGTTAAGAGTATCTCACTTCCAAGCTCCCCAGTTTCCGGTAGTGATAGGTTTACAGCTTTTGAAGTCGTAAGATTGTTTGGGACTAGAGTGTGTCCTCCCACTCTAACAGTCGCTCGCAGTAGCTGTAAAGCGTGTGTTGATCAAGCTCCAGGGCCGTCTCCTTCATCGCCATGATCTCTGGCAAAATCTGTTCACGCACAAAAGGGAGATCCTGGTACTGATTCAATAGAATAATGAGGGCCGAGAATGGTGGCGGGGCAACGCCCAGTTCCCCTGGTGTGTTGTATCGTACGAGCTAGGTCGTGATAACCGTTCCATAGAGTGGAAGATTGTTTCTTCGCCTCATTTGACTATATTGGAGATGCTGCTCCATGGAAAACGCGGCCATATTAGCTCCAGCAGTACCAGGAAGACCGGCTAAAGAGCCCGGCATGCTGAGGGTTAGCGGTAAGATGTAATGTGTCTGCTAGACAAGGGTTAGATTAGCAAGTTTGATTTCTATCATCCTTCATCAGGTTTTCAAATGTGAGACAGTCGGTATATGAATAGAGTCACAACTATTACCGAGAAGATATTTGAGATGCAATAGGGGCTCTCAGGCGTGGGAAATGAATGAGGGATAGATAAATGGAAAGAAGTGATGGGCTTAAATATACGCGAGGCCTTCGCCGCGCCTTCCAATTCTCTCAACTTTAACGTACATATGCGGCATGTCCCCCTGATTGCATTTATTGGAGCTATCAGGCAGGGAAATTACATAGATCCCAACGCGTAACATTATATAGAATATAGCCGGCGAACGGCAAAACTGGGATTGGCGTTGGATAACTCTGCGGGAATTAGTGAGAATCAAGGACTAATCTCAAGATACACACTCCCAGCAAAGAACAGAGCTCTCAAATTGCTGATTATCTATCTAGCTGATGAAACAAAGAATAGCATAAACAAAGAAGCTAATGGCTTGGATGGCCAAATGTTACTAGCCGTCCTAGTCAAAGAAATGGCAAACGACATCTTGCACAACATTATTATATTATAATCCGGGTATAGCGCGAAAGCTAAAATGAGACCTTCAGGCGTATGTATACATAGCCAGCCGCCCGTTGCAATAAGCTCCAAATTGACCCAATGACCTATGAATATCCTACAGTCGCCAGTCAGTATCCTGCCAAGGGTCCTTGGCCTGATTAACTACATACTATCATGAACCAAGGTCTGAGTCAAGTGAGAGTAGTGGGCCACCATAATCCGTCTTCCAATGTCCGGTTCGGACAAAGTTGTTGTAGAAGCACCGAGGGGCGCCATTGATGTAGGTTTTCGTGTCACTCTCGCCATTGCCATTCACTTTGCAGTCAATCAAAGAAGTATAGTAGCTCTAGATAAATATACTCCGGTATTAGTCCGGCAATGAGATCATTTGATATGTCTGGCATCTCGCTCACCTTGAGGTCAAAGCCATATTTCTCGAGCTTTGAGTAGAAGCTTTCATCAAACTGGGATTGGCTACTCCACTGATGAGAATCACACTACTTCATGGTTAGAAAACACGTTGTATGATTGGATCATTTGAGCGACTTACAGTTGTCGGGTCATCATCCTCGCAATAGCGAGTATCCGCCGCAACGGTCCAGTAGAAGCAATAGTACTGGTCGCTCTGGGCTTCGAGCCAAAGGTAACCGGTGTCCGTACAGTCGTCTTCGGATATATCGGTATCAGCAAGAAGAAGGTACCAGGCCGTTTTGAGGGCCACATCAACGAGCTTCTTTTCCTATAAAGTGGGTTAGAAAGAATTGGTCGCGGGAAGCTTCTTAAGATAGGGAAAAGAAAAATCACATACCAGATTATCAGTAAACAAGCTATAGGTCGAAGCAAAAGACGAATTGTCCTTGTTCTCATCGAGAAGAAGGGTGCTGTCGGCAAAGAATCGGGAGGTGGCATGCTGGTACATTGTGTAGGTATAAATCGGGAGAGTCTCTGGGTCCGCATTACCAGTAGCCTTTTGCAGAATATTGGCGACCTCTTCACCAGCCGCACCGACGATATTCTTAAGCGTATTTTGTACCGAGGTGGTATCGACGTGAGAGTCATCACCCTTTTCCATACTTACCGCGGACATCGCTCCACTCGCCATACCCAACATACCAACGAGAGGCACGCTGGCGTCGACTGCAGTAGCGGCACCACCAGCCATTGTGAAACAGGCTGCAATCCAGCCCACCCACGAGGTATCAGGAACCGGGGGAGTAAAGTCTTCACCGATTTGGTCAATCGAGAGACCATCCAGCCAGCCAGTCCAGAGTAAATTGGACCGCACAGTGTTGACCTTGCTGTGGAGGATACCGACCGTTCTGAATACCCAATACGCCATCGCCTGTGGGTAGTCGGAGCATGCAGTCTTCGGGTTGCAATCGCTTCCAATCTCGCCACAACCGGTCAAGGGGGACACCCCGTCGTTGTGGAAGACTGTATCCCAGAGTTTGTTGACCCAGTCCTTTTCTCCATCCGGCAAGCTGATGAGCATAATATCCAACCAGTCCACAGCACCTGATTGGTCCAGGATTTGCTGAACACCATCGGTAGAAGAAGTGTCTCCACTGCAGACACGGAACTCGGAGGGGGTAGCTAGGCTCGCTTTTGTCGTGGAGGCCGTAGAGGTCGTGGACTTCGACGAAGACGTAATCGATGTCGACATTGAGCGCATAGGGACTAGGGTTTGACTGCTTGCGACAGAGGTTGGTCGGTGGACTGGAGTCAACGTCTTTTGTCTGGAAGGAGGGCTAGCAGCAGCGGTTGCTGCCAGGCCAGCGATGAAGAAGAGAAGTCGAGCCATAGTAAAAATCAAATCCCCAAATACTTCTGTTCTCTCACTGTATTTGCCTGGAAACCGACAATATTTATACTCACAAGCCGAGCCCATCTAAACCCCCAACTCAGGTCGATCCCTCATCTTAACGGAGGACCAACCTATATCAGGTGGCAATATAGTCGATTGTGATACATGACTACCCCTAGTCAGAAGTTGGTATATGAAAGTAAGCACTACTATTGTCGATCATGTTTTGGACCCCGGGTAACTTTCCCTTTTCTGACAGCTCCGAGCTTTCATCGTTGTAGCTTGTGACTAGATAGCTCCCATACTTAGATCTCGACCATCTATGGAATTGTAATCGCGAGATTCCCAAAGTCCCTGGTAAAAGGCATTGAGGTTGCAAAATATCAGGGTTATCAGAGGTATCTTTCTCGTTCAGACCCCTGGGCCCAGCCCCACAGGCTCCATAGGGCTCGTACCTGGCGACACTTTCAGCCCCAAAATTGACATTTGCACGGTCAGCACTAATATCGCCGATCGCTTTCGGCCCCAACAAGGCCCTCATGATCATTGGCCACCAACAGAACAATAACGTAAATCCTCATTTAAGACCCGCATGCCGGAAAGATATTCCCGTACTTTATTTGATGGCAACTCCGTTTGCAAACCGTTCGATTTAGGGGTGTCGGATCAAGAATATGTTCACATATTCTTCAAAGACTAGGTAAAGATAACGACCACAATAATAGATCTCCATTACATGACATGTCATCAAACAAGTATACTCGTCTATCGTTTGAGGTAGACAAAATATACATTGAAAAAGGAAATACACTATGCGATATTCAGACAATGTGGAAAAGCCGAGCACAGACCTTATCGGGAAGTTTCAAGCTCAGTATTCCCGATGTCTCATTCCATGTTGTTTCAGTGTCAAGGCGAGTTGGGTATAGCACTCTCGCTGTCGTTGTAGCCTCTCCCTCAAGCAACTTGACTGGCAAATCCTTTTCTGTAACGCCACCTCTCCGCCACACAGCAAGATATATACCGTTGTTCTTTGTAACTAATCCAAGAGACAGCCAGTCATCGTGCCATTGAGGAAGCCCAAGGGGCCAAATTGGATGCGCAGAGTTCAAGTGCGAGCGTATCAACTTATATACATTCATACCTTCCACCATAAGTTCGAGCTGATGGGGGCTGAGCTTGTCTAAGCGGCCACTGAGGTAAACACGTCCCAACAGACTATTGACGACAGTAAATGCATTGAGCTCGTCGCTCCATCCGGGCTGGGGGTATGCCCAGGTTGCGCTTTGTTCTGGGACAACAGCGGTCGGCAAGGCTGCAGCAATAGCTGCATACAGTGCAGGATCTTGTTGATCACTTGTCGATTGGAGCGAATGAACTGATAACATGGCGTATTCCATGCGCTGTGCACCACTCGAGCAGCTCTCAATAACAAGCCTGGGGTACCTCTCAAGTAACGACCGGACCCAGACAAGGTTCGCCCGCTGATGTTCGAGATACGCAACCCCAGTAGACAAAGACCCGCCAACATCTGTGCCCTATGTGACTTCAATGTTGTAGTCGAACTTGAAGTATCCCACGCCGTAATTTATGACGAGGTTATGGATAACTGTGTCCATCCAAGTTCGGACCTCAGGGTGACGATAGTCAAGTTGGAATCTGCCTTTTTCGATGATCCCCTGACCACACTCTTGGAAAAATGCGTCTTTGGGGAGGCGACTGCCCACTACACTTCGCACGCCAACAACCTCCAGCTCCAGCCACAAGCCAGGGATAAGCCCCTTGCTTCTTATCTTGTCTAGAAGGACTTTAGATCCAGACGGGAAACGCTTTTGCGAAGGCTCCCACAGGCCCACATCATCCCACCAAGTACTATCATCCGCGTACCATCTAGCGTCGATAACGAAGTATTTGGCCCCCGTTTTCGCCACGGGATCGAGAAGCGCTGCGACCTTGTCCTCATCCGGATCACCCATAAGACAGTTCATGTAGTCGTTAAACATGATAGGGAGATTCTCATTGTCTTCATGTGGCCTTATGATCTGTCGCTGATAACCAGTCACGCGCGTCAAAGCAACAGGAATGGTCGTGAAGCTCTGGCCAGGGTGCAGTACTTGTTTCCAGTCGTGGTCCATCCCTGTTGGACCGCCAGCAACGAGATAGATGCTATCTTTATTGTCTCCGATCTCCCATCTCCAAGACCCATTATGTTCAACTTGCCAGAGCCAGGTATCCTCGTTATCGTTTGACCTCAGAGCGCCCATTGGTAAATGGCTACTTGTAGAAAAGGAGCCGTGACTTTGGAGGCCGAACGTAGCTTGCGAGCACAAGTGTCCGTAAGGGAGTTCGCATATCCCATCATTGTTGATACCAATTTCAGGCAATGTCTGCTCGCGCCACTGCGCTTCTCGAAACCAGCTATTGGTGGTAGTCAGGAGTCTGTAGTCGTGGTACCACTGTTGTGACTTTGTCGTCAAGCCACCAACTGTAATCGAGGAAAGCTGCGTGACGTTATTGTCGGTATTCTCGGATTCATCTGTGATCGTAGCTAATGATCTGAGGACTGGAATAGCCCCGTAGACTGAAAGGCGAGTAGTGACTAATGTTTTTGTAATTTCGTCCCGGCTCCGAATCTCCAGTGTTTCTACCTGATCATCATTCTGTATCTCGTGGCTTTCGTATTTCAGTCGCGCAGAAAGACAGCTGCCCACTAGGGACTTTGCGGTCTTGTCGAATGTGTTACCCTCTCCCGCCAGCTTGACGCTGACTAGAGGCAATTCGGATAAGTCGAAAAGTGGCGACGCTGGCCTTTGGGCCGACACCCTTGCAGGAAGAATGCTCCTCACGCAAATGGCCCCTGCGTCATTTTGGACAAGGTCGATGGTGAAGGCTGTGGTTTCCCAACGGATCGTGGGCGAAGTGTCGGACATGCTCACCTTGAGCTCCATTCACTGATTGCAGGTGTTTGGACTGTCTCATGAAAATGAATATCCACATACAGGCAATTGATGCTTGATAGGATGAGGTCTGATATAAAATCGCCTAGCAGACGACGAACAAGCAGCTTGACCCCACTTTCAAGTTACACATTCTCAAGCAGATACCTCCTCGTTTCTTGGTTTTTCTTTTGGCAAGCAAGTTCAAGCAAGGTACATAGAACAAAGCCCTAGCTTCGCAAATATGCGGTGGAGTTCCCCCGCGTTCTTTTCCGGGACGCCCGAGCTAACTTCCAGCTATGATTGGTCTCGGCCTCACCGGATCGTTCAAGGATGCTTTAGCGCTGTTTGTAAGGCTAAACGGGGTTCCTACTAAGAAAATTGGGCTTGGGGCTAATGCAGCTGCTATTAGACCCATCCAGGGAGTCGGGGCTTGTCCTAATACATGCAAATCCGGAGACCATTCAAAGAAGCCAAAGATTTATAACTGCTCTCTGTTCTAAGAACCACAGCGAAAGATTGATAAAGAGCACCGTTAGCAAATTTACATCTTTTCTCCTCCTTCCATATCCTCTCATCGGACCGAGCGTGTCTCACCAAGGACGCAGACATGGAAGAGAAGAAAGCTACCACCGAGCACGACGATCTGCCCGGATTATCAATCACACACAATTCTACAAAACAATTTAACCATATTATCGGCCGTCAAGGCTATTGGGAAGCCACGCTGGAAGATGCCCAGGCCGCCAATTGCCACGAACATTCTCTCGGCGTCTTGGCCGCACTCAAATCATACCCGATGGCGGTGGTCTGGTCTCTGGTGATCTCCATGTCGATCATCATGGAGGGCTACGACACTGCCCTGATCAGCTCGCTATATGCCTATCCGAGCTACGCTCGGCGCTTTGGTGCCCTAGATCCTTCAACGAACACAAACCAGATCCCGGCGAAGTGGCAGAGTGCTATGGGCAGTGGGCCGCAGGCTGGCTCCATTATCGGTGCCCTGCTGAATGGTTACCTTGTTCAGCGGTTTGGCTATCGACCGGCCTTTGGTGTAGGTATTCTACTGATGGCAGCATTCGCTTTTGTGCCCTTCTTCGGTATGACTGTCGGGCTGCAAGCCGCTGGGCAGATTCTTTGTGGGTAATATTTCACTCCCCCCTATATCACATAGAGTTTGGTGAAGTTAAAAAGATTTCCAGTGTCCCATGGGGTATCTTCGCTACCATTGGCCCTGCGTACGCCTCGGAGGTATGTCCTTTGCCTTTGCGAGTCTACCTCACGGCGTATACGAATATGTGCTTTGCAATTGGTCAACTTATCGGTGCAGGAGTCTTGCAGAGCTTTATTGATCGCCCTGATGACTGGTCGTGGCGTATTCCGTTTGCTATTCAATGGATATGGATTCCTTTCCTTTTTGTCGTATGCATCTTTATGCCGGAGTCTCCTTGGTACCTTGTCCGACAGGGGAAGTTTGTTGAGGCAGAGCAGACTATTAATTCTCTCATGGCAGAGTGTGAGAAGCCGCAAGCACGACCACTGGTGGCATTGATGGTTCATACAAATGACCTCGAGCGAGACATTACTGAAGGCACATCCTATTTGGACTGTTACAAGGGCACTGACCTGCGACGGACTGAGATTGCATGTGTTTCGTTCGTCGGTCAGATTACTTGTGGCGCCCAATTCGCTTACTCTGCCACCTACTTCTTCCAGCAAGCTGGGCTGAGTTCCGATGACTCGTACAAACTCAACCTAGGTGGCACTGGTATCGCCTTTTGTGGTACGATTATCTCTTGGCTTTTGATGAAGCAATTTAATCGACGTACCCTTTACATAACAGGAATGAGCCTGATGAGCATGTGGCTTTTGATCATTGGCTGTCTCGCCACCGACAACAAACACCCAACCACTAAATGGGTTCAGTCGGCCCTTTGTATTATCTGGCTCTTCACATTCTCCCTCACAATTGGTCCCGTCGGCTGGACTATCCCAGCGGAAGTTTCATCTACCCGGTTAAGGTCTAAGACCGTAGTGTTGGCCCGAAGCTCCTACTACCTTGCACAGATCGTCGCGAATGTCATACAACCCTACATGATGAACCCTCTTGCTTGGAACTGGAAAGGTTCGCTCGGATCTATTGAATTCATTGATCAATATCTTTACTAACAACCAAACAGGCAAGACTGGATTTTTCTGGTTTGCCTTCGCTTCTCTCACTGCAATTTGGGCGTTCTTCCGTCTCCCTGAGACTAAAGGGCGAAGCTATGAAGAGCTTGATGTGATGTTTCATGCAAAACTCCAAACTAGAAAGTTCAAGAGATATGATGTCAACGTCTATGAGCACAATCACGGCAATCAATTACGGGAAGTGTATGGCAATTGAACACATTAGAAATGGGTTCGGCTGTTTTATGGGACCATCAAGGCAATTTTGCACTGGACCTTGTCTGTGCTATTAATAGAATAACCGTTTGAGAGTTACACACTTTTTTTTTCCCTTTCATTGAATATCGCAAACTATATGGAGTTGTAGGTCCGCCTCTGTCCTTCCTAAATAGGCTTAGTCTCCGCCTGTCCCAAATGGGCTCGGACCTCGGCACTATCACGGGGCTATCTCGGAACTATCCAATCCCCCACAAACCTTGCAAAGCTTCCCCTGAAGGATCCATGCGCCAAACCCCGCGTTGATGCATACCAAGATCGACATACCCCTTTCAATCTCCACATTTCCTATATCTCTTGTCTTTTTTCATTTGGCGTGTGCGACGTCTCGCACTTTCCCCATCTTCACTATTCCTTATATCCCTCTCGGTCATGTTTATCGCCTTCAAAGCTGCTCCGAGCAGCGAAGAGGGTTTGCGTAACCCAAAACATAAAAGACGAAGTGAACGACTCAGTCGGCGGGGATCTACACCGCGAGCCTGCACTTCATGTCGTCGCCGCAAAATCAAATGTGATGGCGAGAAGCCCTGTGAAGCCTGTCGATGGTACAAAAAGCCTGAGCTGTGTGGCTATACAGACTCTCGATCATCGCAAAGGTAAAAAGAGAATTGATAAATAAATAAACCTGGGCCCAAGGTTTCAGGACACAAACTGATCAAATTAGCCAGCCGGAGAAATCTACAGTACCCTCGCCGGACTACAAAAGTACACTTGAAAGGCTATTTCCAGACACTGCCCCCGAGAACATCGCCAATTTTTCAAGAGATAAATTGTTGGAGTTAGTGACCACAGGCGGATCCCAATATTCCCACCATCAAGACCCATCGATTGCGGCCGCTTCTCTGGACACCCGCGACTCTACATTGTCGGGGGAAATGCCTGGTCTGGAGTCATTACATACGATGCCCGAAGAGCAACCAGATGAAATGCAATGTGCTAGTGCCTCGGACTCAGTCGGACATATCTCAGACGACGTCAACGCATTATCTTTATCGGCTCGGCACCCAACCTCCTACCTAGGTGTTTCATCTATTCAGGCTGCACTGAAGGTCATTGCGTGGCTGCATCCATCAGTTAACTATTACTTATCCCATCCCTTGTCTAAGGACCAAGGTCTCCAGCCAACCAACTCGTTGCCCCCGACGCAACCTATATCTCATCCTGACCTCCCACCCACGGAACTCCAAATGTTAGATGCGTACTTTCTCAACTTCCAACCATTTGCACCACTCATAGACGAAGAAGTCTTTCGTACGACTTACTTACTTAGTCGTCGAAAGGATGATCGATGGCTTGCACTACTCAACATAGTTCTCGCGTTGGGAAATATTGCAGCCGCAGGCGCAGATAACAATACCCACCGTGCGTATTATGAGCGTGCAATGGATCACTTAAATCTACGTTCACTCGGGGATCCTAGCCTTGAGGTTGTTCAGGCCCTAGGTCTCATGGGTGGATGGTACTGTCATTATATTAGTCAACCGAATCTGGCATACTCCCTCATGGGTGCGTCGCTACGGATGGCGGTCACTTTAGGTCTGCAGCGGGAACCTTCTGATATTCACTCGATGCTCGACCCTAAGAAGTCTGGAATCCAGGAATTCAAACGTCGCGTCTGGTGGTCACTTTGTTGTTTGGAAACCTGGGGCCATGAAACACTCGGCCGGCCAAGTATGGATTACTTTGGCCCTAGCATCACAGTCAATTTGCCTAGCCGACTTGACAAGGTGAGCATCTCCTAACTATTCTTCTCTGGCTAGAATATTCAAGTTCTCTTTCTAAATTGACTCTTGGCAGGAATCTTATTTCGATGTCCTCCCCTTGACGGAAAATATCCAATTCGTGAAAATTGCTTTGAAAATTCAAGAATCGTTAGCTGCGCTACCAACCCTATCGCACACGGATATGTTCGATCTGGACTCGCAACTTGTTCGGTGGTGGCATGACCTGCCGCCGGTCCTCAAGGATTACGAACCCTGTCCCGAATCACTACATGCAGTACGTACTGTGATGCGTTGGCGATACTACAATCATCGCATGTTACTTTATCGCCCAACTCTACTGAACTATGCAATGCGAAGAATTCCCTTCATGGCCATTCGGGTTGAAGAACGCACTGCTATTCAAAAATGCCAGGAAATCGCAGAGATTTCTATCCAAGACATTTCCTCGACAACAAAATTGAATCAAATGATCGGTTGGAACGCTGTTTGGATGTTATTCCAGGCCACTATGGTTCCATTGATTTGTTTATCCGCTGGCGTCGCAGAAGACGATTCCACTGCCTGTAAGACGCAAGTTGAAACAGCGATGTTGACCCTTGGTCGCCTGAAGCCTTATGGGCACACGGCAGGACGCTCCCTTGAGGTCATTTCTGGAATTCTCGAGTCTAATCTTCACGGTCCTCCCGCAGAGCCGCTTGATGCAAGTGGAGATAATCTCGACCCCCAAAGTTTTCCTCCTCCAAATGCTTTCAATGCAGGCCAACAAATCGCCCGTGATCGTGTTTCGGATTGGACTGCTACTTCCTTTGAAACCCTTTCGTCTCAGTACATGTGGGAGTATTTGAGCTGGGACCATAGCAATCTCTGGCCTGAGGTTTTCGACCTCAATGCTCAGAATGAAGATGTGGTAATGTCTTTCCTGGACTCATCTGCAGCCAATACGTGAGATCGTTGTCCCATTGCCTCTAATGTATATAATTATATTTTGCAAATAATAAAAACAAATTTGCGATCATTCCTGACTAAAATCGGTTACTATTTAAGTTCATTTACCGTGTCACCTCGCTTATGAGGACCTGCTAGGTCAATGGAGAAGTGTCACATCAAATTGCATGTTGGAATGCGCAGGGTCTCCACTTTATAATCAGATCGGCAGGACTATTGAACTTTGGAGGATAGAGGGCCCATCGAATGAAGGGGCGATGTCTCACAGATCCAGGTCTGCAAATGATGACAGCCAATAAAAGTTGGACCCGCATACAGATATCTCGGTAGATCTCGGTCTTCAGCGGATGATCGTCAGAATGCTGATTCGACTCGTATTCTAAAGCGAACAACTGCTCTTTTCCTAGTCCGTATCTTGTACATTTATTTTTATGTGAAAATTTGCGGTTGATGATTTCGATACAAAGCTGTCAATATTGTAGCACGCCTACAGGACAGTATCTAGGCACTTTCGGGGTACATTGTACTATATACCTCCCAAGGACCCACTAGTGGGCTTAGTGCGATCGATCGTAAGGGTGAAGAATGATAAAAGTGGACTGGGAGACTCATCAATGTTGTTCAACCAAGTATTTACACAATATATATCTACCACACCCGGCCCCTATTTAAAGCCCTGAACTCTGCATATAGATAACACTCAGGGCCCCTTTTTCTTTTTGTCCTTTCCCTTCACATCCCTACATTCATTCGACATGCGTTCCTTGGTTTTACTTGCCCCAATTTGGGTCGCCTTTAGCCCTCTGGTCACTGCCATCATCCACGGTACCGAAGCCACCACTCTCGAATATCCTTTCATCGCCGCGATTCTCAATAACGATTGGTTTGGAACTTCCTTAATCTGCACAGGCTCCGTCGTGGGTCCAAAGACAATTCTCACTGCCGCCCACTGTGTCGATGGCCATACTCCTTCGTCTCTCACCGTCCGCGTTGGCAGCGCAAATTATACCACTGGCGGAAAACTGCTGCATGCTCAGGAAATTTTCATCCACCCCAGCTGGAGCTCAAGTACGATTGACAATGACTACGCTATTTTACACCTGGCCGATACTGCTATGGGTGGAGGTGTCACTGCGATCGCATTGCCTGGCAATAACGCGATCAACCCAGACGATACAAGTGGTATTGCCGTGCGAGTAGCAGGCTGGGGCAAGCTTGATTCGTCGGACAAAACCTCGCCCACTATCCTGCACCAGGCCAATATGGTGACAGTCGACCGGTCGACATGTAATGCTGCCTGGGCGAATGATAACCCGATCACAAAGAATATGATGTGTACCCAGCCGGATGCACCGATGCCTGGTACTTCCACCTGTAGTGGTGACAACGGTGGCCCAATTGTGGATGAACTGGGGTCGACGCTTTATGGAGTGATTAGTTATGGGGCAAATGGCTGCACGGCTACACCATTGCCGAATGTTGGATCTAGTGTCTCCGACGAAGCGGCCAAAGCATGGATCCAGGGATTGATTGTTTAGGCGCGAGTCGCCATGTAGTGCTTTGTATATATGTTGCAGATATATGTTTTACAGTCACTGACTCGAGAAGAGAGAGACAACAAATAAACACTGATCGGGCTGTTCATACCCTAAGAACTAGCAAACAATCCAGAAAACAAAGTTTAAGTCTGCTAGCAAGTAATAGGAGATAGGATGATCTAACAAAATGTATTCTCTGAAAAACGATAGCGTACAATCAACTCGCCAGTGCAGAATAACCTATGCACCCTTGACTTCCACCACCTGGTTCTCAGTCTCGGAAACCAAGACCTGTTGTGTTTCCGTACTCTTCTTGCGGGGATTTGGCGCTTCAAAGATCTCATTGAGTTCCTCAAGGGTCCGCCCGTTTGTTTCAACAGCGAAGAAGTAGATGAACACTCCCTGGACAATGTTCCAGCCGGCAAGGATGATGTATGTATGCCACCCAATGGCACTGATGGCGTTTCCGAATCCGAACTGGTTCACTAGCAAGGCAATATTGGTGAAGACGGAGTACATGGCCATTCCCTTGGCGCGGGTCTCGTATGAAAGACATTCGACGGCGTACATGGCTTGCAATGGGGTCCAGCCAAAGCTGTAACATAAGCCTGTCAAGAAGATGAACGCAATAGAACCAGTGGCGGCTCCTGTTTGTTCTGTCTTTGCGTATACACCGGTTGTGGCTGAAAGGCTTGCAAAGCAAATCTTTAAGTCCAAGGGTAAGCAGAGAACATAATGAATCACACGGGGTATATACGTACACTGCAAGCAATGGATGCGCCAATCATCATAGGTCTGCGTCGGAACTTCGGGCCCAAATAACTTCCCATATAAGCTCCGCTAGCAGAAAGAATCGTGTTACCGAGATTAACGTTGAGAACCTTTGTCGTATCTGTGACACCAGCTGTTGCCAAAAGGCCGCCAATATAGTAGCTCGTAACGCCAGCCTGCGCCCACTGGCTCAAGAAAGATGCGATACCCACGCACATTAGGCGCCATCTGGCAGCCTTCGTGTTAACAAGTTCTCTAAAGTCCCATGCCTTCTTATCTGACCCTTCAAGGTTGATCGCCTGTTCGTAGTCCCGGACCTGTAGGTGGACATAAGCGTTGTCCCGGGACCCCTCGCCGTGATACTTGGTAATAACATCCCAGGCTTCCTCGCGGCGCCCATGGCTGTAAAGCCAACGAGGTGACTCGGGTATGAACCAAACAGTTAACACTACGATGGAGGATGAAATCAACTGACACCAGATGGGAATACGCCAGGCGAGGGAACTTTCGAATCTCAGACATCCTCGGCAAGCACCAGCGGCAGCGATGGCGCCGACAAAGTACTGGCAATTGTATAGACCGGTCAAAATGTCGCGGTATTCAGGATGACTCATCTCGACCACGTATGCGGGTGCGGCAGAGGACGCCAAGGAGTAGCCCCAGCCTAAGACATGTTGTTAACACATCATCCAGAACTGGTGATATCTAGACACGTACCAAGGAAGAATCGGCTTGCAAGCAACTGATCCATGTGGTTGGCGGTTCCACCAAGAATAGTCCCCAGGATGACAGCGCAGGATCCAGCGAACATGCCACACCGGCGACCCCACGTATCGAGGAAAAATCCGACGAACGGCAGCGCCGAGACACCTCCGATAGTGTACATTCCTTGAATCAAGGAAGCTTTCGAACCGACCAATCCAGCGCCAAAGGTTTCTTGGAACTGCTCTATAGGAAGCAGAGCGCCCATGAGCGAGCCATCAAATCCTGAACCAGTTAGCGATGGGTTTTTCATTGGCTATCGATTATCTTTCTCGTACCGTTTAGGGCTGAGCAAAGATATGCCACAGTCAAGAATAAATATAGCTTCCACATCTGAGCACTCCACGGATTCGGAGGATTGGTCCGCCTGGCGACGTCCAAAGCCAGCGAGCCCTGAAGAGTCTCTACTTTGACGCCCTCTTTGTGCTCATGGTGCATGGCATCGCTGGCACCTTCTTTCTCGACCAGCTGGTCTGAGTTTGTATGCTCTGTCATGCTGAAAATGTCGTATTCTCCACGCCGAGGGATACAATCCACAGAATGAATGACTCAATTCCTGGGGAAAGGGGGTCATGGCATGATATATATTCTCGTAGTCATGGGACTTCTTTTCTCTCGTCGGCATGAAGCATCCATTTGTGAATGTCTCGGATGTCCTTGGCTAAAACAGATAATATTAAACCGTGGAATTCCTTGCATTCTGGTTGTCCAATTATGAGTGACTTTTCTCGCTTCTTTGTGGGGATGGCCCGGGGATGTTGCTCCAGACGGGCCGACCAAGGCCAATCACTACCCGAAAAACTGGGGTAACTTGGGCTCCGCCGAAAATGACTCGGCTTCCTCCGCCTACTCCTCGACCAAAAAGGGAATCTTCCGCCGTTTTCTCCCCGAATATAATATCGGCCCCCCATTATGGCTCCGTGAAAACGACTAGCTTGCGGATATCAAGTTGTAACGGAGTCCAAACCCCCCACAATCCATGTGTTTTCTATTTGCTTTTAGATCTACATTCTTTCCTTCTATAATAGTAAATGGAGAGCGGGAGATGAACCCCCGCAAACGGCTATGCTAACATGCAATATCACTTGTTCATTGGGTTCGGGTGGGAGGAAGAGAGATCAATGCTAGAGGTGCAGAGCTCCTATCGACTTAAGGCAGACAGCTCCCATGTAATGAATTCAAGAAGCTAATGAATTGTATTCAAATTAAAATTATATAAGTCGCCCAATATTGTGCAAAAAAGGTGCCACCCGAAATCGGAGGCCATTTCTATCCCGCAAAATGTCATAGTTCCTCCCGCGGGTTAGATAATACTACAACAAAACTTTCTATTTTCAAATTGCAGCAATTTCATGACTAGAAACCTGGATTGTATCATAAACCTAGTTAAAAATGGTTGAAACATACTATTGACCCAGGTAGCGATACCCCAATGGTGGATCACTATCACTAAGTCCTGTAATCTCCACCACCTGCTCATCGCCCGGAACAATATCTATAGCACTGTCGCTAATTCGTACATTCTCCCGCTCCTCAAAGACGAGACATTTTACCGGCTTCCGTGAGCTGATTACCAAGAGCTGCTGTCCAGCTGAAGCCCCTGGCTGCTGCCTCACTTCTAGTCCGCGATCGGCAAAGTCAAGATACTTGAGCGGCTGCGGCCAGTCAATGTCCCTGGCCACAATCTGACCATCTATCCATAGCCGTGCGGCAAGAACATGGGGCTCAGGCTGGGTGACATGATCGATGATACCACTTGTGATCTCGGAAGTACCATTAGCTGCAACAGTGACGTCCGTGAAGACAGCCGGGGTGCGCAGGTCCCTACCGGTCACCACCGATAAGAATCGTAGCTCGACAGTTCCATGCAGTACTTCCTGTCGGTTGCTAGCAACCCACATCTCGTACCGGCTCTTTTTGGGGGTTCTGCGTGCACGACACTCCAGTCGTGATGTTCACGTCGCACGCCGATCACCAGAGGCTGCATCACTCGCTTCACAGTGTAATACGCAGGTTTTGGCCGCAAAAAGTAGTCCACAATTGCCCATGAGATCGTGGGCCAGCAGTCGTTTATCTGCCACAGTAGCGCTCCGCCACACTTGCGCTCATCGCCCCATTGGCGGCGCCATCCGCCATATCCGAACATCATGGTCTCTGCCTGGACGACCTGTGTGAGGTAGGAGTATGTCTAAGTAGAGTGTGAGTATTTTCTTCTTTCTTTCGGGTTCAGGTGACCGTGTAGATAACAGACCTCTAGATCAGTGGCCATACGTAGGTTTTCCACGAGATACGTCGCCAATCGCCTCTCGTGGCCATCGGCCTTATTATGGAAGTCCATAACTTGTGACTGTGGGTGCTTGTCCTTCTCGTTTTCCAGGAAGTATTCGATCGTCGAGATATGCGGGAAGGCTTCCATCCCAAATTCGCTGTTAAAGCGGCCTCCCAAGGTGTCGAAGATCTGATATTTCTCTTGCGTTCCATGCCACACTGTAGAACCGTCAGCAAGAATATTCGAACAAAAGTCCCAATGGGAATTCATTTATGGATCAGATTGACCGACCATTCCATTGATGGATGTCCCCCACGGTAGGATCGCTCGTGGCTTTTCCGTCGCCCCATGGGCTTCCCGGATGGTAGAAGGTACTCGGCGAGTGCTCGGATACCAGTTCTGGCAGCAGCTTTTCGTAGATGTAGCGTGCTGGGAAGTCAGACTTCAACCAGCTTTCCGGGTCCTTATCTTCGTAGTTGTAGGTGAGCCCCGACTGCTCCTGCACTTGATAATCTTCATTGTTGCCAACGTAGATTACGATTGATGGATGATGTCTCAATCGCTGTACGTTATAGACTGTCTCTTGTCGTACAGACTCTAATAGCTCAGGCCATACTGGGTAGTTGCCACAGCCGAACATAAAGTCCTGCCAAACTAGCACGCCAAGCTCATCACAGGCGTCATAGAAAGCATCGTCTTCGTAGATCCCGCCGCCCCATACTCTGTTTGAGATTATTGTTAGAAGACATCAAAACTGTAAATTGTGTCCCAAACATACCTAGTCATCACCTGGCCACCTGCCACCATTAGCTCGATCCATTTCCGATATCGCTCGACGGTGATGCTAGGTAGTAGATTATCGGCAGGGATCCAGCATGAGCCTCCACAGAAGATGTCCACTCCGTTGACTCGGAAAAAGAACGACTTCCCATGTTTATCGGGCTGCTGAATGACTTCTGCGGACCGAATGCCAAATTTCTTGGACACCTGGTGTAGCTCATTTCCGTCGTGCAAGAGTGAGACTGTCACTTCATACAAGGTCTGGGAGCCGTATCCGTGTGGCCACCATAATTCGGGATTGGTGACCTCAAAGCTGGCTTGGGCATTTTCATTGGCGGGTATAGGGATATCCTGGCGCGCGATCTCATGTCCACGTAGAGTCAAATGGAAGCGAGCAACACAGCCTTCCAAGTTGGACTGATCAATTTTAGCAACTGCCGTAACAGTCGCCATTTTATGATCAGGAGCAAGATGTGTCTGTGGCCATAGGTCTTCTATTCGTGCAGAGTAGACTTCCAATCGCACCTCGCGCCAGATACCAGCTGTCATGATAACTGGGCCCCAATCCCAACCCCAATGGTATTGGGCCTTGCGCACGCCTAAGCGAGCCATATCTCCGTTGAATCCGTGCCATTTGTGATCCGGGTCTTTGTTGCGTAGCTCGGTTGCTTTGAGCTGGGCGCAATCGAATTCGACCTCTAGCACGTTCGTGCTCTGTGCTGACCCTAGGGCTTGTGTGATATCCACACGGTGGCCTAGGAACATGTTGCTAGATTCAAGGATTGTCTCGCCGTTGAGCCTGACTGAGGCAAAGGTGTCCAAGCCGTCAAATACCAGTGCCACGGTTGCACCAGGAGGGGTTTCCGGTCGTTGAAAAACATGTCGATATACCCATGCCTTCTCGTTGACCCAGCGCGCCTTGAGTTCATTGAAGCCTAGGTACGGATCCTCGAGCCTAAATAATATGTAATCGTCAGTTGGTGTCACATTGCGAGTTTATCAGTTGGTTGGATTCCTAACTTTTTATTTGCAATGAGATCCTGCTGCACCGTCGAAGGCACTGCCGCCACAGGCATCCATGCATTGAGTGTCTCGTCATCTCGATCCTTGAACGTCCATTCTGTAGACAATATTTGCTTGCAGAACGTCATGTTTGTGGTTCAAATGGAAGACAAATTCGTTCCTGATATTTCACGGCGCATTCAATTGAGAGAACTTCCAGAGAGGGCGGAGTGGGTTAATTTATATCAGCGGTGGACACTTCAAAGCACCTGGGTCCCTTTCTGTCCTGATTAAACCATTGAGCCCGAGAGTGAAAACACGCAGCACAAGACGAATTCCTGCACCTCTCAATGTGATATCTTTAGAGGCTGCAAGACTACCGCCAATACCTCCTGCCCCACCTGCAATGTAGATCAGCCGAAAATGTCACGCAGTGACCACTTTTTTTCTCCGTCTAATTGCCTATTCGAGCGTACAGTAGGCGGACGTCCGATCGAAACTGGTAGTCCCGAAGAATTCCCCCATTTTATATGCTGTATAGGGTCCAACTCACACCAAAATGCAGATCGATCGTGTCCAAGCACTTGCGCGTCATCTTTATCTTCATATGGGGATATCGGGGATGGACAGCCCGAAGATTGGTGATATTACTTGACACATTTTTGGCAATTTGAGCTTCTCCTGCCTGATCTTCAGGAGTTTTCAAACACTGGAGGTTTGATCCCACGGATTCTGCCGTCAGCTGCCGCATAATGGATCCACACCCGGATAATCCCTTACCCGACACTTTATCACCTCCTTCCTAGTTAGACGTGAGGTTCATACCTAAATCAGTGAAAATATCGCCTTTTGACTTCTTGCGGTCAAGAATTACAAGCCTCATTCCATCCCAGCCAGTTTCCTCCGAACTTCTCGATTCATCGAAGAGGAGAGCACACCCCATTATAACCCCGAGCATTTTTATCCCATGCAACTGCATGAGATTCTCGCCGACAGATATCAAGTGGCTGTTAAAATTGGCTGGGGTACCAGCTCCACTGTCTGGTTGGGTTAAGACCTTCACCAGTAAGTCCTACGACAATGCGACTGTCCTACTTCTAACCTTCAAGGTGGCGGTGGCTTCCTCCACGTTATGTTGCGATAAAGATCAATGCAAACAATTACACATCTAAAGAATGTGCGGGAAAAGAGTTAAGAAGTACACAGCATATAACACGAGCAAATACGGCCGACGAAGGTGGGTATTTTGTGCGCTTTTTGCTTGACTCCTTCGACTTACCAGGGCCGCATGGCAACCATATCTGCATGGTCGTGATGGGCCTTCATTATCTTCACACCCAACGTCATAGTATCCATACAGGTTTGTTCAACCAAAGAACACATAGCCCTCATCAGTTGGAAATCCTAAAAGTTAGCAAATCTCGAGTCCGACAATACCTTTATGGCTCTTAGAGATAACTCCCCACCCGACGCGGCTATTCGGGATGAGATGGAGAATCCAATGCCCCAGAAACCCTCCAAAGATCGAATAATATACCTTTCACGAAATAACTTCGGCTTTGAAGTAGATAGCCTAGGAAGGCCAGTGATCACGGATTTTGGGCTTTCTGTTTACGGAGAAAAGGCCCCTCATAATCAACCTATCCAGCCAAATACATTAGAGCCAGTTGGGACTACAGCGTTGATATATAGAATCTTGGTGCATTGGTGAGGATCAATCATTCAAGTTGGTGTCCAAAAGATTCCAACAATCTGACTAGATCTGGGAACTGCTTTGTGGGACCGGCCCTTTTGATTATTCAATATCATCATCAGAATCATCTTACAGCGAGAAGACGCACCTGGCCTCTATTATGTCCTTGCTAGGCCCTCCGCCAGAGGATATGCTTGACCGTGGAACCCAAAGCTCGCGATATTTTAATGACGATGGTACTTCGCTTACAAATATGCCACCGCTTGAAAGTCTGTCTTGCTGATGATCAAATAGGTCAATTCAAGTTCCCGGATCTCATTCCGAAAGAGTAAGGGTTTGAAGCAAAGCTTACGGTCATCGAAGGGGACGGGAAGCAAATGTTTTTGAGTTTTGTCTCGAGACTGCTGTGCTGGCGGCCAGAGGATCGAGCAACTGCAGAGGAGCTCCTGGCTTCAAGCCTAGTTTTGGTCGTCGAAAGAATTAGAAAAGATTTATATTGAGGTTTAGTATCACGACGGTCCTTTGTGACAATAGCACTAGAGTCGACTTGAATACGTCTAAAATAAGTACTCGGGGTGCTTTTTAGGCTACCGATACTTTAGGGGAAAAGACATTCCTTGCTCTCAGCTCTTGTCACTTCTAATAGTATAATCAAAATTGTGCTTCAAATATAGCCTTGCTCGGTCCAGCATGCCGCGGGTGAGCTGTCCGAGTTTTGTTGCGGCTGAACTTGCTTAGTTAAAATTCTCTGCCTTTGCTATCAATGTTTTTAGATTTATGCCAGGGGTCATATTTAGAACAGAATGCGCAGTTTGACATTCCTAGAAAGTGGGCATAAAGTGCGTATCACCAGACTCTCTATGAACAAAGTCTAAAAATGGTCAGTTACATATAGACGCAGCACCGAGACACCCAGTTGTATTACATAAAATTGCCTATTTGAGGCCACGGTGGGCGGAAGTCCGATCGAAACAAGTAGTTCCGGAGAACTCCCGAGGTTTGGCGAGACGTAGATCCTATCTAAGTATTTACACGTTATCAACTAAAATTTATCAATTTCAAGTGACGATACCGTTTGACTTGATGCGTGACCCTTTTTGGCATCATTTACATATATGGTCTCACAAGCATCCCCAGGTACACCCTTGGCTCCCCTTCTTGTCGACTTCCCTATTCATTTTGTGAGACTATATCTCCTTTTAGTTCTATTTTGAAGTTTGAAACTAGTGCAGTATATGAAACTACATCCGTCTTGATGCAGAAAGATCCGCACGGGACGAACAGGGAGACCTCAAGGTAACTCCTCAATATACTATGAAGCGAGACTCGAAACAAGATGATCTTTGCCGGTTATCACGCGGGAAGAGGGACAGCAATTCGCTCATACCGTTCATGTTGCCCCAAATGTCGAACTATCCATAATGTCCACAGCTCTCACATTGCCATATAAAAGGAAGCCGCTTGTCTCCGAATTTTTGCAGTATCACAAATCCAACTCCTGAATCAATCAGCAAGAAAGCTCATTATTCTTTCATCTCATTCCAAGATGCAGCTCCTATCTCTTTTCACATCTATGGCCCTCGTGTCTGCGGTGGTCTCATCTCCGACAGCAGACTTCAAAGCAATCCTGGCCCGCGCAGATGATCGGGGCACCGAAACCATTGCTGGGCTCGGGACTCGTAAGCAGGCGGTCTTGGATGCTGGTGGCAACACTCGTGACATGGCCATTGCGATGCTGGAGACGTGAGTTTCCTTTGTGCTCTGTCCCTAATGACCCAGCTTACAAGTATTAGTACCACCATGACTACCGACTACACATATGGTATGTCGAAAGATTTACAGTCGAGAATATTAGCGGTTCTAACAGTGATAATTCAGGTGATGGGAAGACAGGCGACGGCACCAACTTCGGCGTGTTCAAACAGAATTGGTTCATCTTGAGAAACTCTGCGTCTGAATTCCTAGGTCAGACCACAAGCCAGGTGAAGAACGGTGAAATTCTCAAGTAAGTTTTAGGGTGCTCTTGAGGCCCAGATATATATTTACTAACGTTCGACCCCTAGTTCGGATCTGTCAATGGACATCCAAGCTCGTCATGATGGCGAGGAGCATTACGGGTATGAGACTTGGTTCAGTGGCCACCGCAACGGAGAAACGGGTGTGAATAACCCGGGCACGGCGGACATCACTGGTGAGTTGTACCTAATATGATCCTCTCGTTCACGGCAGCTAAATTTATCGACAGCGTACATCGATGCCGTAGCATGGATTCAGGCGCAGCTTGAGAGTGATGAAAAATACCAGAGCGATGACACTCGGTTCTGGGTTGATGTCGTGGCCATTTAAATACGGCGGTGGAAACGGTGTGGCGGAAAGCTATCGACATACCCTTGAATAAGGCTTTGCGCTCTATGCGATGGGACGAGATTTACAGCGGTGGCACATCTTCCTTGGCACCACAATCCTTTTGTTTACCGCTCCGGCGATGTTCTATTTTACTCTTGTTATCTGAGTTTTAGTTACGCGCTCCAAAATCCCAAGTTTTTCGGATTATACAGCCGAACTGCACACTTGCCCTAACGCAAAATGAACGTCATGGGCTAAATGACATAAATTAAAATCTAGCCAACGATTAGGAAATCTTAAATTCGTTCTTCGTCTGCTGCCGTATCACTAAAATTTCCATTTTGAACGTTGTACCGGGAGAGAATGCGTTTTCTTGTTCTTTCAATCGTCCAGCTTATCAGCATCTGCGTTGCCGACGTTCCTTCCTGGGACGCTTGGCCTCATCAACGTATCAAAGTAAATGAAGACGTTAGCATTCACCTACGCTATTACGGCACTGGACCCCCCGTCCTCCTCATCCATGGAAACCCTCAACATAGTGTGAGTTACGACCCTATGGTATCCCAATTTTGGTCTTGCCGGCATCATGACTTTAACACATCCTTCTGGACAATGTTTGTGCATGCTAACCGTCCGCTTTCTTCCAGCTCTCCTACTCTACCATCGCCCCAATTCTTGCACAGAATTACACCGTAATTACCGCCGACAATCGTGGCGCCGGCGACTCTTCAATTCCAGCAGACGACGACTATACTGCCTCCACCCATGCAGATGACTTCAAAGCGATACTAGATTTCCTGCACATCAACGAAACCTACGTCTTTTCGCATGATAAGGGCTCCGGAATTGCAGCGGCGCTAGCGGCAAAGTATCCATCTTACGTGAAGAGAATTGGATTCTCCGAGTATGCCTTGCCTGGCTTCGGATATGAGAATTTATGGACCCCCAGCTCCGGCGGCAGCATTGGCTGGGACTTATACAAGAACTGGCAGCTCGGCTTTTTCAGTGTCCCGGACGCAGCACAATATTTTATCCAAGGCCGCGAGAAGGAGATGCTGGCTTGGTACTTCTGGCACACTTCTTATTCCGGCAATGAAGCCATTAGTGAGGACCACTTGACTCGCTACGCAACATCAATATCCAAACCTGGATTTCTGCGAAGCATGATGAACATATTTTCGGTTTCGACCGTGACCGAAGACGCTTCGTTCTTCAACGCATCATCTAGTCGCAATCCGTTGCCAATGCCGGTGTTGGTTCTTGGAGGCGAGGCTAGCTTTGCGCCGGGGTCTGTTTTGCAACAAAACTTTGGGCCGGTGAGCAGTGATCTCCAAGTAGATGTGATCCCAAAGGCTGGCCATTGGGTGTTGGATGAAAGTCCTGTATGGGTTGCTGATCGGCTATCGACGTTCTTTGGAGAGGATTCCGATGGTATATTGACGGTGGATTTATCGTATTTAACGAACCAGGTGACGCTGGTTTGAATATTTTCGGGGTTCATACCATTGGGAGGTATCAAGCTGAGAATTCTAAATATCTTAGATCTTGATGTATCTATTTTTCTAAAGCTCGAGTATTTTTTAGAACGCCATTCCAAGTCATGCACTCGGGAGTTTAGAATTATAAAACGTTATCAAAATTGCAGCATAAACTCAGTTTGTCTTTTTCAGGAAGCCTCCATTCCCGCTGTTCAATTACCACCTTACTCTTAAGACCGAGCCACGATTGTGATGGCCGATATCACTGGGCTTGTTTACATGCATTTAGATGGAATTCTCATTAAATTGTCTACAGAAACCACCATCTAACGATCGAGTAGCCATACCTAATCCGAATTTTGCTTTCTGATACTTTCTGAAGTCTGCCTCGATAAAGAGAAGAATACGGGACATTGATGAAAAGTGAGAGTCCCAGATTGTAAAATAAGACCTCGTAGCTCGTTCATGGGTATTTATTCATTCTCGTTGGAAAATAGTCGAAGAAACGGTGTAATTTGTACGCATGCAAATCTTTACTTAGAGGTTGGAATTCTAGAATCACTTGGGACATCCGAAAAGCAGATCCCCTTACCATTCCTTCCAAGGTTGCTAGCCTATAATTCCCCCATCACCCAATCGCATACAGTCGATTTTCCTCTCCCACGCCGATGGAAACCAACAGGATATTACGACAGAGTACAGTCATAATGATATAGCTTTCTTGTCAATGCCTTACAAGACTATTCATTGCCAGTCCTATAAACCACATTACTCTGAATCCTCCTATCAGCTGAGCTCTTTTCTAAACACAAAAATGTTCGAGTTTAATGATAGCGCCATCGAATATGGCCGGCAGGATATCGAAGGATTACCTGCTTCAGTCAAAGCATATTGCTACAGCGGTATGGACGATTTCTGTCGGATAATCTCATTTGAGTGTGATCGTCTCTATGGTTCTTTCCGCGTGGGACAAAAGGCAAGTTTGGGGGTAAGTGGTGCAAGTTGGGAAGGACGGAAAGACCATTCCATCACGCTGCCACAGATGGAAGGCACCATTCAATTAGGCTCGGCACAAAAGCCAATTCCCATTCGCAATTCCCACCGCGGTAGGCTTGCAGATAACCGTACTCGTCAGAGTATCCCTCGTAACAGAGACAACACTAAGAATACGCCAGACGAAGAATATAGCCCCGAGAAAGAAGACCACAGCGAACACCTTATCTTCTTTATTGAACCTACGACTTTCGAGCACGACTTCATCAACTCGGATTCTCCTGTTCGTACCAATACATTCTTCAATCCGAAATCAAAAATCCTTATCATCAAAATGGCCGGCCCGGCGCACGAACAAGCCGCAGAGGCTTTCAACGACATGCTTAAAGAGGCCTTTCGGCCAATGGGCCTGCATAAAGCAATTCAGTCATGGGGAAGAACAACGATGCTTGCCAAAGATGGCACAAGGAAGGTGGCAGACGGGGGGTGGGGTCCACAAAGACCCCTGCGCAACGCTCCTAAGAGACCCACAGTTCTGTTGGAGGTCGCCAATTCGGAGACTTACGCCAAGCTCCGCCGTGATGCTCAGTACTGGATAGATCCAGAAAAACAGGAGGCCAATGTGGCTATTGGAGTTAATCTCCATACAAAAAGGCCCGAGATCACGATCGACCAGTGGGAATGGAGCTCCCAAACCTCCCGCCCTATCAACAGAACCCACTTCACCATCAAAAGAAAATCTGATGGTGCAGTTTACTTTGATCCCCATAATCCTCCAGCTCAGCTCGTGATCCCTTTTAAATCTTTTTTTCGACGCCCCGCACAAATCAACAAAGAACGTGATATAGTCATTGGGACACAAGAACTAGTTGAGTTCGCATCCATGGTGTGGGAGGTGCAATTCGAACAAGATCAAGAATGAAACAAGAAGTGTTTTACCGTATAACGGGTGGCTTTCCCTTCTTTTCCTGTCAAGTTCAATTTCGTATTGTTATTCGTCTGTACTAGTTAGGGCATGGCAGTATATGGTGTTTATGGATAACAATCCATATTTTTTTACTGACAGAAATGAGTTGCAAGGGCTTATCCCACTATATTGAAACCACCATAATTAGCCCTGAGAAGAGTCGTAAAGGCACGCACAATGGAAAAGAAGTTTCAGACTGAGCCGCTCATTCATCCTTACGTAGGCTCATGCTCGTGCTCATGCTTAATGTCCTCTATCCTTTAAAAAGCTGGTTGTTGGCCTTGATTAGGCCTTGGGCTATGTATGTAGTACCCCAACCGAGAGATATATGATAGAAGTAAGCCTCGCCCCAATTTCCAGAGACTTTCCCTCGCTACAAGCCTTCCTTGGCTACGTTTACCCACAACACCAATTGCACTAACAAATTACACTTGAACAACTACCTATATGTTTCGACATCTATGCTGTTTATTGCATTATGCTTTGCTCCAAGGTTAGCCTTCCCATCTCCGCCTAACCGCTTTGTGTAAGAGTACGGTTGGATGACTTTAGTGGTAAGCAACCATCACGCAGCCCTTCCAGGCCCAGCGGTGATCCAGGTTCATCGTGTTCTTGGTCATTGTCCTCTTTTTCTCTCTCTCGCTTTCCATAATTATCTCAGTCCCTCTAGACCTATACATCCTCGTTTCTAAGGATGACGATTACATCTACCATATATACATATTTCGTTAGATATTTTCTCCTATAATGCCTAGTGATAGACACCACGGCATATTCCATATTTACATCACCATTGTCTAGCTAGGAATAGAGGTAGGCAATTAACTCTAGAAATAGAGACAGTGCGCCACTCAAGGGCCATCGAAAAGTAGATTGACCAATCATCAGTGTTATGGGAACATATCCTACCCAGGGGTAGGCTAGAAGCCTACATATATAAGTGATCAATATGTACAACAAACAGTAGTGATTCTCACCCGATCTACGACGGTCTATAGCGCTCAATGACAAATGCCTGATTTTACTCCCTCGATGCGTTATTTTGGCCTGGCAGAAAAATAAGAATAAGTGAATTACTCTTACAGATCCCTTAATAAGTAATGTACACTGCCCAGGTTCCGCTAACCTAAGGTAGGAATGAAAATAAATCCTTTGATCTTCATAACGAGTTGGTTACAGTACACTGTATAGAGAGGCCGAAAGGCGATCTAAAACAGGGCTTAATTCAGGCATTTGTCATTGAGCGCTATACACCGTCGTACCCTATCTATAGCACGCTCACCCTTCCATCCCATCACTCAGTCACCCACAACCATCCAGTCTCTTGTACTCTATAATACTCTCCCAGACGCAATATAATACATACGACCATAGGGTGTGGAAAACAGGGCTTCCCGTCCGCTCAGCCGTACTTAAGCCACACGCCGGTGAGTTAGTAGTTGGGTGGGTGACCACCAGCGAATCCTCACTGTTGTATGTTTTTTTTAAATTCACATATTTCCTTAGAATAACGCATAATTCAGGCAACAACAATGTAAAATCAGATATCCGATCCCTGGCATACTACACCTTCACCTTCCGAATACGCTAAGACTTCAAAGATATTACCATCTGAGAAGAGCTGTGACGTAACGCTTTATTCCATAGCGAACTTGATGCGACAATTTTGTCATTTGCAAGATGAGCATATACATTTGTCGAACGCAAGATCGGTCCTAGTTAAACAGATGATTGCTGACTTTTACCACAACCCATTTTGTCTCACCCCTCGTCGCGTTCTCGTTCACTTCCTAGATGCAAGAACGAGGCCGTCTCATATTTCAAGTGTGACAGAAAATCTCCTCCGCGGACCTAGAGCCAGAGGTAACACAACTCCAGGAGTAATCATGTCTATCAGTAACAACCCCTCCACCTACATTATAAATGTCGCATGCCATGGTGGTTTGAAGTACCCGAAGAATATCGGTTGCAACATCCACTTCGCCGCCCGGGCTAGGCGACACACGACAATACATGGCGGAGCCCGACTTGAACCCTGGCGGAAACTGAACCCATTTCAGCACCTTATAATCGGAGCGATTCAAGCCAGAAAGTAAGTCTCTAGTCGAACTGGCAGGATTCTGGCACAGGTGGATATGGATCTGTTCTTCCGAACGGGTCAACGCGCTATTGATGGCCAGCGTTCCGTTTGCTCGGTTGTATTCTTGCTCGGGATGTCCACTGCGGAGAGTTTTCTGCCCAAGTTGGAACCCGCCGTCTGCATCTGGGGCTGTATGTAGTTGAAGGATTCCCGGCAAGAGCTGGGTAGTTGTGATCAGATCACCCCGGCTAGTGACCATCCATACTGGGGGACTTGCTTTTCCTGGAGTGATCTTTTTATCGGGGATACAGTTTGCCTTTGGATTTGGACTTTGTAGATCCCGGATGCACCCACACAGACTGTGGAACCAGATATAGCAGCCGTTACAATCGCTATTTGAGGAGACGCAACCTGAGTTGCAGGTTGTAAGTTGGGCTCGGGATTGGATCCTTATCGGGGGATTGCCGCAGGCCTGGTAGCAGGTCTGAGGGCTTGTTAGGCAGGTTAGATTCTTTGGGTCTGGTGGAAATTTGGCCGGACAGTCGCATTGGCTGACATCCATTTTGGAAATATCATCAGATGTGCATAATTTTGCTTGAGGGTTTTGCTCTAAAGGTTCCTGTCGGAGAGTCCCTTCCCTCTGCAGACTAAGGACGCTTGGGACAAGGAGGCACATAAGAACTCGTTCGTAATTGGACTTCATTGTAGCGATTTGTCGTAGTTAGATATTGGAATTGAGAGTGGAAATCCCTTGTTCAAGGACGACTATGCTCTGGACTGGATGTCGAGAAATTCGATATCTTTATAGGAATCCTAAGACGCCATTAATGACGCAAGATCGGCATACTAGCTTGTATCTCTTGAGTCTAGGTACGTCTAGATCCCTAGGAGTTGATTGAGGATTCTTGATGCGGCATCCTAGGATGTCAGAATCCAAGCTAACCACGGGTATGGTATCTCTGGGAACTAGCAGTGCGATATTTTTGTGGAGTGCAAGCTCAGCTGATTTATTAGAAAGATGATGTATTATCTGCGGCTGATTTGGTACTGGATTCCTGCAATCCAAATAAACAAATCTTGGACCATCTCCACTGGCTCCCTATTGGATGGAAGGTGTCGAGATCGCCTCTCACTTGCACTAGTTCAATTGCATTCTATATTTCAGTTCTACAGTATTATATATGCGACCATAAATTTATTTAGGTCTTTGTTAATTGGAAGCTATCCTAATTTAATCGAGAATTAGAGATCTAATAGTCCCCTAGAGTCCTACTTGGCATATGAATTGAAGACCTAATAATACAGAAAATGATAGCTTAACTTATATACATTATGACGCTCTAGACTATACGGAATGCTCAGTCAAATTTCCTATGGGAATTCCCACTACTCGCGTGAGCCGGGTAGTTAAGGTAGTGCCCGCCCATGGGCATTTCCAAGTGGGTATTACCCGATTAATTAAGGCCACGGGCACTGCCCGCCCCGTTGCCCGCTAGCATTGTCAAGGTCTAGATATATTTACCCAGTGATAGGCTTGGGGCCCCAAATTGGGTTACAACCAGCAAACACGCTAATTACGTCCTCGGGTGTATAATCCAGCTGATTTAGCGGGTTTATGACCGCTACCTACGTCAGACCCTTACTTAGGTGAAAACTGGGTCGAACTGGGCCTAAACTGGGTTTTCTGGGGCCCCAGTCACTGGGGCTGGGTTGGATCTAGGTTATGAGCTTTCGATCCAGACCCAGACCGGGTTGGGGTTTGGGTCATGCAGAAGCCTCAGAACATAGAACCGAGACATGTCTAGAAAGAGAATGTAGCCAGTTGAACTAATTAATGGGGCGGAAGCCGGAAAGTATCTATACCCTGCTGTCAAGCAAACAATTGCTCAGTCAGTAAGCAAACAGATGGCCAGCGACGGAGTGGTCCAACAGATGGCGAGGGTGTAAATTCAATATACATATTTCCGTACGAGCCTGACTTTTATCATCGTTATGCAGTGAATTGGTTGATTATGTGGCTATGGTATAAAGGATTATCACAGTTTATGCAAAGTTTATTTGCTCTCTTCTGTTTCTTCGGCAATCTTCACCAACTGTGCCTCTCGTTTTTTGAGCACATTCTGAATTTCCTCAACGGTCTCTTTCAACAGGTCTTCTGCCTCACTTCCCCTCTTTTGCGCGATAGCCTGTAGTGACTGCAATTGAGGGATGACGCTGGACCCACCAGGTACCATCTTGAGCCACTTGTCCAGGTCACCCAAGCCGCTTGTCTTCGCTTGTCCAACCTTGTCCGTGATGTACTTCTCCACATCCTCCGTCTTACCCGAAGAAGCGCTGTCCTTGACAAGACCCCACAGATCTTTAGGGTTGCCCTTTTTCAAGGTATCGGCGTTGTCTTCAACCATTTGCTTGAGCTTTGGGTATTTATCAAGGTACTGCTGGGCCTCCTCGAAACCCTTCTGCCATGCCTCCTCCCCTAGCTTTTCAAACTTTGACTTCTGCTCTTGGATCAAGTTTTTGATCTCTTCAACTGACTCGCCATTTGTGCCGCGCTGCAAAATGCTGGAGATTTGTTGCCAGGTCCGAGTTAACTCTTCCTTCGCTTGGGGCCCATGAGCGTCGCCCATCTCCTTCAGTTGATCGAAACTACCACCGACCTTCTCCTTGAGTCCGGGGTGATTGTTGAGAACATTCTCCGTGGCGTCGCCGGCAAGCTCGAACAATTGCTTGAGATATTTTTGTAGCACGTTCAAAGCCTTGGACGCAGAGTCTATGCTCAATGCTTCTTTCTTCGAGATATCCTTCAGCTCGGTATATGCATTTTTGACCACTTGATCAAATTGCTTTCCATGATCGTTTCTGATCTTCTCGAGGTCATCAAAGGCGGTGTCCACGTAGCCGCGCGCGCCAGGGATGAAGACAGCATAGCCTTTGATCGTATCCTTTAACCAGACAAATGCCTCGTTTGGCTCAGGTGTCTTTTCAGTGACTGTCCGCTTGGCCTGGTCGATGTATGCTTGTGTCTGCTTGCCGGTGTTGACGAGTGTCTTGGTTCCAGAGAAGTGGTACCAGGTGTATCCCGCAAGGAAGGCGGCAGCTCCACCAGCAAGACCGCCAATCAAGGCGGGATTGCCACTAGTGGAAGCCGCATTAGATGCGGTGGATTGGAAGCGAGAGTTGATAAAGCGAGCGTTGGGTTGCAGTCGCTGTCTGGCGGACCTTGCTGCAATTCCTGAGCTTCGTCCGAGCATGTTGAAAATATTGGGAAGATGGGGTGAAAATGAGAGAATATTGTGAACTGCAATACTCGTCAACAGGTGAGGTTAAAGTGTAACAAATACTGAAAAGTGTTTAAGCAGACGGAGCACGAGTTTTAATAGGCAAAGAGGACACCCAGAACAGCTGTAAATCCGATTCCAGGAACAGTTCGTACCGTTAACTGGGGTTGATCGATATGACGTGACTTCCAAGTTATAGGCTACGCTACTGGCGCTACCCAGCTCCAGGCGTCAGGTAATATACTGGTTCTGCTTTTGAGCCGTCATACTGCATCTTTGCAGAAAGTATGCGAAATCCAGTAATTCTAGATTCGGGCCAAGCTTTTAAGAATGACCAAATGACGTCATCCATATATTGTATGCGACTCCCTATTGTGGCCTGTTTTGCCAAGAAAGACGAGATAACTAGTGAAAATGATCCATCCAAGTATTCTTGTCTGACCTTCAATCGCTTTTGCCTTTCTCTCTCTCTGTATGGGAATTTTCCAAAGGCACTCTAGGATGAGCGCGGCTAGTTGATACGAGTGAGAAGTTTACGTCATATTTACCCTAATCTGGTCCTGGGCTGTTCATCAAGAGAATGAGTAATATATATCCTAATCGATGGCATCGTTAACTGGATAAGAATATAAATAGTTTCAATCCAAATATAGCCAAACTACACACTAAGACATTCAGCCATCGCCTTCGGCAAGGTTCTTTCCGCATGACCGCACCTCCATCCCACTCAGTAAATCAAGCTTCAGCTGAGTTTTCCTTCTCCTGGACCTCACCGAAGGCCTTGTCTCCATCGAAGATCAACCCAACCTCTTCCAAACTGCGGCCCTTGGTCTCAGGGAAGCCAAAATAAACAAGAACGATCTCAACGGCAATAACGCAGCAATAAACAATATAGTATCTCCAGCTGATCGCATCCATTGCCACGGGGTTGGCATATCCATTGAAGAGAATGGCACATGTCGACGCAATCTGCATGATATTCGTTCCTTTGGCACGAAGGTGGGTAGGAAGTACTTCAGTAACGTAGACCCAGGGGGGCCCATTGAGACCGGCGTTGTAGAAAAGCTGATACATGAAAATCATCACGATTACCCCACTGCCGAGACTGCTATCTTTGAAATCTCGCTGTTCATTGATTGCGGATAAAACTGTCCAGATCACGAAGCAGGCCAGCATGCCCACGGTTGAGAAAAGGAACAGGCGTCGTCGACCAGCTATTTCCATAAACGAGGCTAGAATGATTGAGATTCCAAGGTTGAACACTGTCAAGCCACCGTTGATGCGGAGCTGCTGGGGATCCGAGGTCAAGCCAATCGAGTTGAGAATCAGGTGAAGATAGTACGAGGTCAGACCGTTGCCCGAGAGCTGCATCATGCAGGGCACTGCAATGATGATAAAAAGGCGATGCAAGTTGCCGCGTGTGCTTAGGAACTCTCGATACCCAGTTGTAGAAGCTCCTTTCGCGGTCTGGATTGATAATATGATTTCTTTCATCTCAAAGTCGACCAGCGCGGAGTTCTCGTCTCCACCAGCGTGGTACTTCGTCAACACCTTTCGGGCTTCCTCGTAGCGGTCTTTCTGCACAAGATATCGGGGCGACTCGGGAAGAAGATAGACGAAAAGCACTTGCAACAGGGGAAAGAATCCCTGTAAAAGGGAGGGGATGCGCCAGGACCATGACATGCTTGGACCCATGAAATAGGTTCCGTATGTGATCCATGCAGCGAGCAATGCTCCCAGGTACCACAAGTTGTTGTAATAGCCGACCAATACAGATCTATGTGTCGGATACGCCAATTCACTAACCAACATCGGGGATGCTTCGACGGCGATCAGACCACCGAAACCAATCACCATACGGGAGACCAAAAACATAGCGTAATTCTGCGCGGCACATTGAAGAACGGCTCCAATGACCAAGAGCGCCGATCCGATGAAGATTGGGAATCGTCGGCCCATGTGGTCACAGAGCCAAGGAGCAATAGGAAAAGCGAGGATCTGACCGAAGATCACTCCGTTGGAAAGTGAGCCCAGGCGGCTACCAGTTGGATGGCCGAAAAAGTTCTGCCATTGGCTCATTGACTGCAGGCCGTTGAGCATGGATCCATCATAGCCATTTGTCGTCGAGGATAGATACGGAATGATCATCCCAAGATTGAGGAGCAAAAGATGACGCTCCTTGTACCATGGTTTGCCGGTATCTGGGAGAACACTTTTCAGGGTCCATTCCGCGGGGCGATTGGTGTCATTCTCGTGGACAATGGTCGTCGGCTTATCTTCCTGGTCATTCATCTTGATCGCAACCTTCTGAATTGAATGTGCAAGAAAGGTGAGTAAAGTGCAGATGAGAACTGGAATTTCCCTGGCGCGATCCTTATTATATCACCTTCCCATCACACTGCTCCGTCACTCCGCAATGAACATGCGCATTGTGGTTTAGATGGCTTGACTCAACTTTGTGGTCTGGTTTTCCTTTTCTTTTGCCTGTCCACATGGAAAAGCTAGTGCTGTCGTATTTGGGGCCCTGAATTCCCGAACTCCGCTGAGACTACCTTAGTGTGGCGTATTAGCACGGGCCGTTTGTAGCGAGCAATTGGCCGTCGTCGGCTTAGTGGCCCGTTCAAGGCTAGTTCCTGCCCCGAAGTGAGCCGACCTGATTTTCCCCGCAGCGGCATCCCCGGATATTTGCTCCTCGTCCGGGGAAGAGATGAAGGAAGGATGGAGACTTCGTCAAACGGCGTGACTACGGGCAAATCAAACTTTCCCCATATTAAGACTAGGGGGTTCTAACCTGATTGAGATAAAGGGTGAAACCACTATGTGAGCACTACGACCAAAGTAGAAATAATGAGAATAATGAGGGAAGCCCCTCTTTGCTGTTCCGAAACTCCGCTGAATACATATTTGACTTTATGGCCTGGTCTCTTCTCTGCAAATGCAAAGATGTTAGTGAGACCGTGCTTCAATCTTAATGGAAGCGACCTACCAGTCTCAGATCCAACCAGAGGCCTCGGCCTCCGACATGGAATCCACTACTCCACCCGATAAGCCTAGTCTCCAGAAACGAAGACACCCCCGTTCCGCCGCAACCTACCCCCGGAAGCGGGCTACTCAAGCATGCCAAACTTGTCGCCTTAGACGCACAAAGTGCGATAATACCCGGCCCTCTTGTGCATCCTGTGTGCGGCTCGGGGCGGAATGTTCCTACCAGCAGCCTTGCTTTTCGACGTGAGTGTATAGGGAGCGATCAAATTGTCACCAAATGTTCAAAGAAACACAATTAACCAAGCAACAGATTTGATTCCGCCAGTCTGGCGATTCTCAAACGGATCGATGATCTGGAATCACTGATCCAGACCAAGGTGAACGATCTACCTCCGGTGGGTCCGTCTAACGTTCCCCTTTCTACATCGCCGCTTAGCATATCCCATGAAATTTGGTCACCTGTGCTTGACCAGCAGACACAATGGAAACCCTCTTTTATCAACATTGAGGAGGTTCTCAGATGGCCTGTTTTCGATGACCAAGAACTTGAACCGCGACTGTATCTAATATCTCCATCCGAAGAGAACACAAGTTATCAGGACCTACCGATATCCGTGGATCTTGACCTCCATGCGGCCGACCACCTCGTTCACAGTTTCTTCAATAATGTACACATCTTCAACCCTACGCTAAAGGAGGAGGATATCAACGAATATGTGAGGACTGTGCGATTGAATGGTATTGGGTGGGACGCAATGTCTTGTCTGTTGGTGAGTGCCCCTAATCTATTTTCATTTCCCTTGCTCATGGCATACCAGCTTCTCATATACGCCAATGGTTCAATCGCGACACCATTTGTAAGGAATGGGCAGGGCGTATCTTCTAGTCTGTTTCACCAGTCAACGGAATTTTTACAAGCCGAAGCATATTTCCTTGCCGCGCAGAAGCGGATGGGCATGCTGCTCTGCAGAAGCGGTGCGATTGAAGCGCAATGCTTTTTTCTAGCCGGTGTGTATCTAATGACAACATTGCGGTCGGTGGAGGCATGGAGGATGTTTGTGCAAGCACTGGCGTGCTGTCGGGGATTTTCCATTCCCCATACCCATGGTAACCGTCACGAAGACGCGTGGGACACGAAGCAGAGAATATACTGGACCTGCTTGAAGTCTGAGCTGTAAGTAGACCGAGCCCAAACCAACCGGCATTGTCTAATATCACGTTGATAGAGAGCTGCGGCTGGAATTAAATCTTTACCAAAAGAATGTTCTGGATCTGACATACCCTACATTCTTTCCGTCGCCTCCAGAAGAGCTCAAGTCCAAAGATGAAGCGGCATGGTACTTCTACCTCGCCGAAATCGCTTTGCGACGACTGGAAAACCGCATTCTGGGCTATCTTTACCGACCTTACGCGGTAGACTCACAATCCAACATGGAAGCTGTGATTCTTGACTTCGAGGAGCAAGCAGACGCATGGTAGGCAATGTCTCAGATTGAACAAGACATCAATTAATAAATGCTAGGCTGCGATCTCTTCCCGAAGCATTGGCTCCAGATGCAGGCAATCCCCGTACAGACCAATATGAGCCCTTCCGATTCATTCTCAGTGGTCATTTCCTTGACTGTCAAGAGACAATGTACTGGCACTTTCTGGTCGAGGCCGTACATGGCCGAGCGGAAGGAAACAGCGACATCCTTCTGCGCAAAGGACTGAGGGTCTGTGTTGATAGAATACAGCAGAATCGCACAGGATTCTACCATCGTCACCACGGAACATGGCTCATGCTCCGGTCGTGTACAAGGAGTGCGTTGGTGCTACTTGCAGCTGAGCGCAGCGTAGAGCTGGTCCACTTACTACCTCTAGGCTGGGAGGCGGTGGTATTTGATGTTTGTAGGATGCTAGAATTCTGGAAGGATGAGTCCAATGATGTAATGGGGTTGTTCACTGTTGTTCAAACGCTGCTGGAAGCCAGGGGACATTAGTTGGGTATATTTTATTATTTTCACCAGCTGCGCAAAATGTACCGAATAGTAATGGATTATTTCAAGCTATTCTTCAAAGTATTTTAGGCAAATTATGCAAATGTCCCGTGAGAAGGAAGTTCCCGGATGGATGTAACCTGGTCCGCGATGCAGGTTCCACTCTCATGGCTTAAGTCCGATACTCCGCGATGCAGGCTTACTTTGTACTGGAGATATTTCAATAACGCAAAGTATTGCAAAGCTCGCATTACTCAAGAAATTTAGATAATGGTTGGCTTTAAGAAAGTGATCTGCCGGCTGGAAGTGCAATCGCTTTCTGTTTTACCATCTCCTCACACTCTGTTCTGCCATTATGTCGGCGATTGATGTCGAATACGTGCTGTCAGAACTCTCTTTGAATGAGAAGGTCTCATTGCTCTCAGGTTTGTCACCGTAACCAGTTCGAATTTGCGCCGCTGACCAGATCAAAAGGAATCGATGGCTGGCACACAGCAGCAATCCCGCGACTTGGGATCCCCTCAATTCGCATGTCAGATGGGCCAAACGGTGTTCGCGGCACCCGCTTTTTTAACGGAGTTCCTGCAGCATGTTTGCCCTGTGCCACGGCATTAGGTGCTTCATTTGACGCGGAGCTCATATTTTCGCTTGGAAAGCTCCTTGGTCTGGAATGCAAGGCAAAGGGCGCTCATGTCCTCCTAGGTCCAACGATCAATATTCAACGAAGTCCCCTTGGAGGTCGCGGGTTTGAGTCGTTCTCCGAAGATCCTGTCCTTTCGGGCTCCTTGGCTGCGAGTTATTGCTTGGGCGTGCAGAGTGAGAACGTGATCCCGACGCCGAAGCACCTTGTATGCAACGACCAAGAGCATGAGCGTGTTGCTGTGAGCTCGCTTGTCACTGAGCGTGCTCTACGGGAGATATATTTGCTTCCCTTTCAGCTAGCCATCACGAGCGCCAACCCCGGAGCACTCATGACCTCGTACAATAAGGTCAACGGATGTCACGCCAGCGAAAGCCCGGACCTGCTCCAGAATGTTGTTCGAAAGGAATGGGATTATAAAGGTCTCATAATGAGTGACTGGTTCGTTGTTTCGCTTACTTAATACTTCCATGGCTGACCAGAACAGGTTCGGCACCTATAGTGTCTCCGAGGCCGTCAATGCCGGTCTGGACCTTGAAATGCCTGGCCCATCTCGATTTCGTGGGCCGGGCTTGGTTCATGCCATAACATCGAACAAGGTCTCCGAGAGGACTATCAATGACCGGGTTCGCACTGTTTTGGAATTAATAAAGCAAGCAGCTACCTCGGGAATCCCCGAGAATGCGCCCGAAGTCCAACGGAACCTTCCCGAGGACAAAGCATTACTCCGCAGAGCAGCCGCCGAGTCTATTGTTCTTCTCAAAAATAGTGATCAGATTCTTCCTCTTGATCCGATTAAAAGGACCCTTGTGATCGGACCTAATGCCAACATCGCAGCGTACTGCGGCGGTGGCTCTGCGGCCCTGTCACCTTATTATGCCATTACACCCCTGGAAGGAATCAGTAACAGCTGTACCGGGGGTGTAACCTTCTCACAGGGAGTGTATAGCCACAAAGAGCTACCACTTCTAGGAGACCAGCTGAAAACTGAAGATGGTCAGACCGGATATATATTCAGTGTGTTTACCGAACCCTCTTCCAACAAGGACAGAAAGGCTGTAGACATCCTACACATGAAAAGTAGCTCCGCCTTTTTGATGGACTACAAGCATCCAGAAGTCCACTCAGACCTCTACTATATCACCATGGAAGGGATCTTCGAGCCCACAGAAAGTGGGATATATGACTTTGGCCTTACGGTAGCTGGTACCGGAGAGCTCTTCATTGATGGAGAAAAGGTAGTCGATAACAAGGCCAATCAGCGACAGGGAACATCCTTTTTTGGAATCGGGACCCCAGAAGAGTGTGGCTCCAAGTACCTCGAAGCAAATCAACGGTACAAGATTGTTGTCGACTACGGTACTGCTCCGACTTCGAACCTGAAACTACACGGGGTCGTGTCATTTGGACCGGGAGGTCTGCGAGTGGGAGGATGCAAACGGATTGACACAGAACGAGCCATTCAAGAGGCTGTCGATCTGGCAGCTACAGCTGATCAGGTAATTATTTGCGTCGGGCTCAGTGGTGAATGGGAAAGTGAAGGATTTGACCGTTCACACATGGATCTCCCGCCCATGTCGGATCAGCTAGTTGAAAGAGTCCTCGCTATCCATCCAAATGCCGTGGTTGTTGTGCAAAGTGGAACGCCTGTAACCATGCCGTGGGCTCGGGACGTGAAGGCACTTCTTCATGCGTGGTATGGTGGGAATGAAACAGGGAATGGCATTGCGGATGTCATCTTTGGGAATGTGAATCCGGTGGGTAGCAATCAAGTTGTATATTCCTCATACACACCAGCTAACTTTACATCCCAGTCTGGCAAACTTCCTCTCAGCTTCCCAGAATCTATCGAGCAGAACCCGGCATACTTGTCTTATCGATCAGAAGGAGGCAGGGTTTTGTATAGCGAGGACGTTTACGTCGGTTACCGTTACTACGAAAAGATCAAAGTGAAGCCTCTCTTCGCATTTGGTCATGGTCTCTCGTACACAGCATTCCGCCTCTCAACGCTTGCTGTTTCCCAGCCGTTGAAGGCTTTGAACAGAGTCAAGGAGGAAGTGCTGGCAGTTTCAGTCTCAGTGGAGAATGTTGGATCTTGCAGTGGGGCGGAGACTGTTCAGGTATACATCTCACCACCTTCCAACGCTAGCATTGGCCGCCCTGTGAGAGAGCTCAAGGGGTTTAAAAAGGTCAAACTCCAACAGGGCGACAAACAAGAAGTCGTGATTATCATCCCGGTTGCCCTGGCGACCAGTTTCTGGGATGAAAGGCTGTCTGCCTGGCTTAGTGAAGCGGGAGAATATACAGTCACCGTTGCTGGTACTGGTGAGCAGAATGTTCTCTCGACAGGATTCACGATTTCCCATACCAGGGAATGGAACGGCTTGTTTGAGCCTATCATGCCTGCACCATGATTTGAATGTTAGGAGTTAACCTGGGTGTTTACTGGGACACCGAACTATCTTCTTTCCCAGTCTATGTTGTTTGCATTTCTTTATAAAGGATTATCTTGGCACAGACCTACCCAATGAGTTGGTAATCAAGTAGACTAGGGGTTTGTTTCAAGGATGTAATTGGCAATCAGGACTTATAAAAAATGCAGTGTCGTTGAGAGCAGAGTTTTGTCAAAAGCCTTGTGCTATAGTAATAAGACTATTCTCGGCTCTATGCAATAAAGTGCGGCTACTAAGTGGGGCTCTTTTGGGGGCGTAGGTAGTCTCAAAAGCCGCAAAAGCCGGGCCTGAGCTTTGGGGCTGTTCGCCAAAGACCGAGGCCGAAAAAGGTTCCGGTGCCACCAACTACCTACCGCCTTGGCCTGTAGATTATTCATATTACTTGGCCTATATCATAAAGACCCATTTTCTTGACCTGTTCTATTTCTCTAGCTGCTAGTTTCAGGCGGCCGCGTTTTGCGTTCTCTAAATTCCAAGCCTTTTTGGTTCGCCATCCAAGAGTACACTCTCCAAATATAACCACAATCATCCTTCAGCCTTCATCACACACATCGATCTTCGCCTATCATGGCCACATCCCTCAAACCAGCCCCCACCATTACTGTGTTCCGCGGTTTCCCCGAAAAAGGTTGCTACACCTGGTCGCCGTTTGTCACTAAGCTCGAGGCCCGGTTACGTTTTGGCAATATCAACTACAGCATCGAGGCAGGTTCACCCCCAAAAGGTCCTAGGGGCAAGGTACCCTACATCAAACTCGAGGACGATGGCCAGTCTCAATCTATGTCCGACTCTACCCTAATCGCAAAGTTGTTCATTGCGTCTGGATACCTAGAGGATCTCAATCACAGACTCTCCCCCGTGGAGAAAGCCCAAGACCTTTCCCTCAAGGCCCTGCTAGAGGATAAGCTCTATTTCTACCAGGGCTACGAGCGGTGGGTCGTAAACTATTACGCCATGCGCTCCAAAATCCTAGCAAGCGTCCCCTGGCCTGTGCAGGTGATTGTCGGCAACATAATCTACAACAAGAACGTCCGCAACCAGCAGGGTCAAGGAACAGGCAGCTTCTCTGGCGAGGAAATCGCGATCTTCCGGCAAGAAATCTGGGAATCTGTCAACGGGCTCTTATCAGCTGCGCACGCCCAGCATCAGGATCGGGAAGGGCCCTTCTGGGTGTGGGGCGGCGATGCCCCCACCGAGGCCGATACAGTGGTGTTTGGCTTTGTGGTGTCAGGCCTGGTCTGCGGAGCGTAAGTACACATCCAAGGTGGTATGCCTCAGGGTATACCTCAGCTGATGATAAACCGTGCTGACTGTTCGGAAGGGCTCCGGAGACCAAGGAGATTGTGAATAGTTACCCGGCGCTGGTCAAGTATGCTCGAAAGATCCATGAGAAGTATTTCCCGGATTATCAGCTCTGGGAGTAAGTTGGGATTCATAATTTGCTATATCCCTTTCCCTTACATTTGAAAATGTAACGTTACCGGTGTTGAAATCCCAGTCAATTCACAGTGATTAACCTAGGATGGTTATAATACGGAACCTGTTTCGAAAACATAATCAAGTATTTTTGTCTTTAACTCATAATTAGAACAAATCCACATTCAGGCAACTTTGGGGATTCATCAAGATATATGACGGGCTCTGAGCTGGGTTCAAATGTTGAAAAGATATAAATGACATTTGAGAGATTGGGACTGAAATTTGTATACCAATCACGATTAGTTAGGAAAAGGCTAGTTGTTCCATAGCGTATCCCCGTCACTGATTTCCTATGAAATTGCATATCTGTCTTGTGGCTCTAGGATATCTACCATGTTGGGGGGATATAATAATCCTCCCAACGATCCGACTCAGCATCTTTGAAAGTATCAATAGTACCTTCTACTCCTTTGGGCCCAATAGACCAGACGCCGTCTTCAACCAGCTTGCGCCAACAATCCAACAAACGCTCCAGCCGCTGAGGGCGGTAGTAGTCACCACCAAAAGGCTTGAATCCATGCTGAAAGAGGTCTGCAAAGCTTCCCCTATCAGTAAGCTCCCCATCGCTTCTTCGTGCGCCTACGCTCCTACCCCAACCATCATTGAGGGTGAAGGGAAGTAAAAGCCGAAATCCGTCCTCAGCCGTGTCAAGGCCGTTTCTCTCCACCGCCGCGGTATATAGGCCTGCAGAGACACGAGACGGTGTGAGCGTATCGGTTGATATTGAATAGTAATCCAATAATAAAAAAGGAGTTGTTGTTCTCGTGAGCTGAATAGGACGCTGGTCGCCGCCTTCGGCGGGGAAAAGGCATACTGGCGGTGCGGTGTGCTGAGAGTGGGGTAAGACGGTAAATGGCTGTGCTGCTATAAACCTAGACGAGTCGGCCGGAGGTAAGAGAAGGCCCGGAGCGATGTAGTGGAACCGGGGGCGTCTCGCGCGCGTTAGAAACGAACGCGCAAAGGAAGGATCGGGCACCAAGGCGGCATTTAGGACGGTTGATGCGACAAGTGGCTCTGGATTATCCGTATCAATCCTGGAAATAGGGCCTATTAGTGATAGTGGGTTTGGCAGCTGTGAGATACGCGCCTCAATGGCCCGACACAGCCGATCCCACGCGCCGACACACGTAGTAACCTGGGCTTCGCTATAGGGGCGCCACTCCCAGGGCCCGATTTTCTCGAAGTCGAACAGGGCTGGCTCTTCATGAGGCGAAGCCACAACCTTTCCAAGCTGAATAAGGTTGATCCAGTGGGAGAGCACTGTCTCTAGTGGGTTCCAAATGTCTGGATGATCCTCAACTGGGAACCCGTAGTCATAGGAATCAAGATGCATGAAGACTGCGACGCGATGGAAGCGTTGGTGGTAGATAACACCGCCACCGCTGCCCTCGCCCGATAAGCCCACAGGGCTCAAGCGCACCAGGCTATCAACCGGCTGGTCTTGAAGATCAGCTACAAATTCCTCAATAAGGCCGTCCGGCGTAGGGAGCCCCCATGCGAAAATAGAGAGTGGCGGGGGAAACTGGTCAGGGTTATCACTAGGAGGTATCATAGCGGTGTCAAGGAAAGCCACCAGTGATGGATCAAGCCTTGGACGAAGAGCTTCAGCTTCTGCACCGAACGCCGTGAAAAAGTTGGTGCTATTTTCATTCAGAGTTGCTAGCGGACGACCTTCAGCGAGCCAGGAATATTGGGCCAGATAGTTGTATAGAGCTGCACATCGTGGGTAATCCATCCCTTCGACATCATCTCGTGGAGGGTTATCTGGCCTGACAAGCAAGCCAGTGATATCCGGAAGTTGAGAAACATCCATTGAGATGAAATCGGAGTGTGTGGCTGCGTACCAGGTGAGAACCCTCGCTTATTAATAAAGGACAATGTGCAAAGAAAAGAATATATTATGAAGTGTTGAGTGGGGTTGGTGGGCGGAATCAGGAAGCTAGAAGGCGTAATTCTACCGAGCAAAAGCGGCGAGGGGGTGAGCACTAATCCGGAAAGTGGAACATTTGAACCAAAATCTGCCATGATAATGCAAAGAGGACTTCGAATATACACATGGTAAGCTTATTTGTTTACTGCGATAGCCAATTCTTAGCTAATCGATATAGAGGGTTACATCAGGAGGGGGATCCAACAGGGCCTCCGGCTAGAATTTGCCATATTCTGCGGACTTCATGAAGACGATCCACGAGCCTTAGAAGATCCAGATCTGTTCAAGAAAATGTGGTTTACCAAGGGCTCAGATAAGCTTATCTTTGATTTTATCATCTCGTTTTGGATAAAACTCAAATCATTTATGATCCAACGGTTAGTGCATGAGGAGAAGGCATGGATAGATGATTATGGGGATTGGCTGGTTCACGAGGGAGAAACCATGGACGAAGCAAAAGCGACGATGGATTACGCAGAGCGTCAGAGGCTCAGTGATGAAGCCATACAAGAGTCCGAGCGGATAAGAGAAGAGGAGCGACAAGAACAAGAAAGGTACGATGCGGAAGAAGATGCAATGTTTGAAAACGAGCATACACAGGAGCTGGAGGAAAGATGATCAATATGAGCCATTTTTCAGCTTTATCATGGGCAAAAGTAAGGCAGTTTACTGTCATTAAAGGTTTTATGAATTCTCTGTCTCACTCATGTCCAAATTACTTGACATTCAGTAGGCAAGGAAGCAACTGAAGTGTATATAGATTTAGCGTTCAACGTAAATTCATCAAAACAGGTTTAACTAGTGGATATCCACATCAAAAGAAAGTGATAATCTAAGCTGCACTAATGACAAGGTAGTTTCTGTAGATCATCATGATGTAGGCAAGGCTTCACGTTCCTGATCAAGGTCGACTTGGTAAGCTTCCAGGGAGTTTTGAAGTATTGAATGGAACCTTCTCTACGTTGCACAACCCCAACCCATCCGTATCTATGGTGTACATCGGCCAGGGTTAAGTGCCTGATTTTTCAGTGTTGGTGCCTTATATGTGCCTGATTCTAAACTGGCAGAAATTAGAATACCTGAATTACGATGACAGAGACCGTAATAATTCGGTTGTGTGAATAAAGTCTTCGCCATCCAGTGTCTTCTCGTGCGCGTTCCGGACCAGGAGGATTTGACATGTACTATCAACGATATATTGTCATTTTACAAAGAATCAGTCATTGGTGACGAGTATGAGAGCTTTGTACATCAGCAGGCGCGTGTGCAAAACACTTCCGTGGGCCAGGTGTTGGAGCATCTCACGGTGACGGTGGCGGACTTCGAAGGCGTGTTGCGGGCAATAGACAGCAATATGAATCTGCATCATTTGGTGCATAGGTGAGGGGAGATGTCTTGTGTTACTTTAAGTGTGAGCGTTATTGGGTGATCTGGAAATCTTGATAATATTTGTGATCCTTTACTAGAAATAGCCTACACATAGAGGCTAGAGAAAGGAAGATAGAGTATGCAACAGAATGATCAAACCCATAGAAAAGAATAAATCAAGGAGGATTTAAGTCGAAGATTTAATTCAAATTGTTCGCCACTTGGAATCCGTAACACCCTTTTTCCTCTTGATTAGTTAGTCGTTTTATATCTGGTTTTATGTGAGGATATACGTTAGCCCATGATCTTTGACCAACATGACGTCCAATGACTGTCCATCAAGTTCAAGATCCTCCGGCGGTGCTCTATGCCATCCTTTTTCCTACACTTCTTCCACCCTTACATAAGAGAGAAAGCCCTCCAAAGATGCTGTGCAACTGTGATAGTATGGAACATGTCTGTGGAACCTGCTGTACAACGCCCCGTGCTACGCATAGTAATTTATTCCAAATAGTCAAACACTGATATAAGCGAACTGTTCAAACGCTGGCCAGAAGGAATTAGTTATGTCAGGGGAGATGACTTTGTGGCTACCTCATAATTATCGACCATCCTGTTCGTATGTTAGAGATGGCACCGTGGCTCTTGGACACAACACTGGAAGGATATCGGTTCTCAGATTCCATTGATAGTTATATCATTGAAAGTCGTCTTCACATTCCTTTCTATTATCTAATGACTTCAAGGAACCATGGAAGATTCCAAGCGTAGACGCAAGGCTTAGGAGAGCAGTATATGGACAATGTCTAGTACTATGTCGGGATACTTTCGCCAGTGTCTCATCAGACAAGGAAGTTGGCGAGTAACAGCATATGTGTGACTCATTGCAATTTGTGAAAGATGCAATCAGGGCTGTAAATGAGAAGTTTCGACCTTGGAGAGATTAAAGGAGCCCTATAGCGGGAGGCAATCCCGTTTCTAAAAACACCCAAATGTTATCAACGATGTCTTCAATCGCCCTCGTGACGCAAGCAGATGTGACAATGAACGGACGGCACATATCCCACACGCTGATGGATGTAGTTTGGTGGGTGACCATCAGCGAATCCTCACTGTTGTAGATTTTCTTTTTTTTTTTTTTTTTTTTTTGGCATTAGAATTTCATACCTCGATTAATTAATCATTGATCATAATATGACGCTTCGCTTCACTCCTCTTACCAAACACAAGGCTGTTAGATATCAAGGATGTTAGCCGTGTCATGATAAGTCTACGAAGGTGTACAACATATAGACGCCACAAATGCTCCATTTAACTATATACAAATTGATGCCTGGGTGCCTTATCGCCTGATTTATGACCGCTCCCTAATTACACCGCTCCATACCGTGTCGTAAATATTGTTATTGCACAATTCCAACATTGGGGTGATGTATGATTTTGTATGGCACGAAAAGCTTCAATTTACCTAGACAGCTGCCTAGGAGATAGAACCACAGTGCGTCACTTATTAAGGCCTTGGTCACTGTAATTCAGAAATTTTTATTTTCTGCAAGTTCAAAATTAATAGACCGATTATAATCAGGCATTATTTGTATGCAAATCGGACATTTCACCCCTGGCGTCAATGGATACCGCCTACGTAATAAGTCCTTATCTCTGTAGATTCAAAAAAAAATCTCCATCTACTGAGGTGCACATATTTCTGGAGACTAGAGTGACGATTCTCAACTAGGGATTAGGAGCCTAGAGCCCCCCTACCCGTGCCAACGTTAAATATTTGCTTATTGTGAATTATTTGAGCTTAGTTCGTCATGCAAGAAAATAACTTCAGAGACTTCAACGGGCCGAGAATGGTGTCGGAGCATACAGACCGGCATACCGGGGATTTAATTAATCCAGGTTGTGCAGTAATTTTGAATTAGTAATCCGTAATCCATATAAATTGCTAGGAAAAGGGATACTGAAATACAGAGATTTTAACACCATTGATTGGACCCATACATTTCAGGATACCAGTGTATTCGACAGTTATGAGCCCGGTTCGCACCCAGTAAGGCCACGATCACCAAAGTATAGGGCCGAACACCCCCCAAAGCTATCCCCAATAGCCCCTGAAGCGGTACAGCAACCCCTGAAGCTATCCCTATAGCACCCAGCGCTGTATGGCAACCCTGAATCCATCAATGGAAGCAGCATCAATTCTCTCCGCCATGAAGGGCGATAAACTGAAGGACTCGCCGCAGTGGCTCACTTGGTATGCTCGGGTGCAGCTATATGCGACACAGAAGAATGTTTGGGACCACTGTGATCCCAATACCTCCCCTACTGAGAGACCGGAAGCTCTAAAAGAGCCAATTGAACCGGAATACCCAGAGGATGGGAGTGAAACTGATCGGAGATATTGGAGAGATCGTATGGATATATACAAATTGAGATATGCTCGATGGGAGAAACAGGCGAAAGGACTGAGCGATGTAAATGAATATATCCTCACCTACCTGGATTCAATGCACCATCTCAATCTGATAGGACATCATACACCGTATGACAGATTGGTATACCTGAAATCTCGCTTTGCTCGGTCGACGGCGTATGAGGAGGAGGTTCGAATGAAATGGAAGGTCTTCGCTATGCAAAAACCGACGGGGGATATTGAGCTGTGGCTACAGCAGTGGAATTCCCTAAGAGAGCAAGCGATCAGCCTTGGTATCAACGTTGGAGATGCCAATAGGGACTTCCTACACGCAGTGAAAGAAGTGCTTCCTATCTGGTGGCAGGGTAAATACCAAGAGATTGTCATCGACAAGAAGGTGTACGATACCCGAGATCTCATCGAATCTTTTCGCGCAATGAATAGAGAAATAGGGGTGCTAAAGGTATCATCAACCTCGCCCCCGAAGAGCGCCTTTTCCACCTGGCAAGGGCACCCAGAAGCTAAGCCTGAAGCCAAACCCCAGGCTTCACAGGCTTCACAGGCTTCACAGGCTTCACAAGAGAACCTACCCTTCGAAAAGAGGAAATGCCCCTGTGGTAACACCCATCCTAAGCATAGGGTCACCGAATGCTGGGTTTTAAACGAGGAAATTCGACCGGAAGGGCTGAAAATCAGCGAGAGGAAGCTAGAGAAAGCAACCCAGGTGTTAGCAAAGAACCAGGCCTGGAAGAAATGGGTGGAGAAAACCATAGCAGAGTCAAATCAGCTAAGGCAAGCCGAATCCGCCAACCAAGTCAGCTTTGCGACCACCGTCCAGCACCAAAAGGATAAGCAGCAAGGTGCGGATCAGAAGAAGCAAGAAGTGATTAGCCAGCGTGCCCTATCCCTTGCTAAGGAAAGCGATCCTATCCTAAAGAACCGCTGGATTTTAGACACCGGTTCTAGCTCCCATGTGTGCAATAATCGAGATCTCTTCGTCCAATATACCCCAAAAACCACCTACCTCACCACTGGAGACAGCACCACCGAAGTGCTAGGGAAGGGTACGGTTAAATTGATTGGAAGACACCCAGTGAAAGGAAGAATGGAGATCACCCTAAGCGATGCCCTATATTCGCCAGGATTCCACACAAACCTAGTATCGTACTCGATGCTGATGAAGAAAGGGGGGATATGGTGCCAACGTACAAACTGTATCCGGGACCCCAACGATAGGCCAGTCGTCTGTGTGAACCTATGGGATCAATTCAACCTTTGGATATTCGACGAACCCCGGGAAGCACCGCCTCAGCAAGCCTATTTCACACAGAGGAAGTCAGTGGAACCCCTAGAAACAAAGGCATCAAGCGAGCTATGGCACCGGCGATTGGGCCATATTGATCGTAAGAGGATGAAGAAACTCACCACTATGGTGGAAGGGGTTGTCCTCGATGATGAAGAGAAGAAGTCCACCGAGCAAGAATCCCTATGTCAAACCTGCCACTTAGGGCGAGCACCTAAGCAGATATCAAGACGACCAGTTGGACGCACCTTTGGCCGTTTTGGAAGGGTCCATTTTGATCTAATCCAGATACAACCAGCATACAATAAGCACCGCTGGATATCCCACTTCTATCTAGAAGGACCGAGGTTTCACTGGATTATGACCCACGAACTAAAGCCTGAGTGCCAGCTAGCAATCAATCGCTTTGTGGAACTAGCAAGGAACCAGTGGAAGCTGCCAATCAAGGCATTCCACTATGACAATGAGTCCTCCGCCGGAAACACCGCCGAGTATAGCCTCAGCTCAGATGGTATCCTGATATATCACACT